ATTTATAGTCATACTAGCTGCCCCCGCCCCATCTTAGCCTACCTTTTACTTTACATACGAACATGAAACATTTTGCTATGCCCCCTAGACTGTTTGGTTTTCTGGAATGAAAACTTTTTAGGGTTTTCTGTGAATTTTCTCTATATAAACCTCGAGAGTTCTAGTCATAAGATTTTATTTAACAAATAAAAAATAGGGGTTTATCGTAGAGGGGTGATTAGAATTAAGGGATGTATGTATTTTGTATGCTGTATCATAAAAATTTTTTTTTTTTTTGAAGTGGACACCCCTTATCACTTAGGGGTTTGAAAGATAGATAGCAGCCGATTCTCAGACCTAATGAATATGCATAAAAAATTTCATAAGAATCGGTGGAGCCGTTTCGGAGGAGTATGGGAACGAACGTTGTGACACGAGAATTTTATATATTAGATTACAATTTAATTATTATAATACGTATTTCTGTTTAATTCAGGCGAGATAATTCGGAGAAAACACACAATATTTTAATTTACTTGCCCTAAAACCATATTTTTACTAAGCTACGCCTCACAGCTGTTATCTTGGATACATTGATAAGATGTCTTATTTAAATGCAAAGAAATAAGTGCAACGCTCAGTCTACAAATTTCAGTCATACTTGTTTATAGATTATTTCTGATTTTAATGAGTCCTTACAATGTTAATATTGCCTCCAGCACCGTATTATATCAGTGAGTATTATTTATCTGTTTTTACACTTGTCATTGACAACATACATCATTATCTAATGCCTTAAATAAGAAATGGATTCAAACAAACGAATAATTAATCGTAATTATTAAATCATTAATATTTAAAATCAATTGTATAACTATTAGAACTTTGTCTGTTACTGTAGATTTTTGATAATCCATGTTTAGAATTTTGTAGATTATTCAATTGTTATATTAAAAACGGTTACAGCCAGGTTGGCCTATTGGTTTAAGCGTTCTTTAGAAGCTAATTTGTTCAAATCTCGATTCCAATAAATTTTTCTTGTTATGCGCAAATAAGTGCAATTTGGTTCGGATTGCAGACATCGAAAAGAACGTCATGTCTTAGACCTAAACGACGATATGTTAGACACAAGGTTGATTACTGTATCACCTCGACGTCCGCCGTTCCACCACTGAGCGTTTTTCAAGGCAGTTTTTGCAACGCACGCACCACCACTTTGTGAAACCAGATGCCTACTGAAGTATTTCCGAACCAATTCGTCTTAGGAAAGGAAAGAGCGTACCAATTTTTAAAAGGCCGGCAACGCACTCGCGACCTCTGGCATTAAGAGTGTCCATGGGTGGCGGTATCACGTACCATCAGGTTAGCCTCCTGCCCGTTTCTATATAAAAAAAACAAAAAAAACCTACTTCAAAATAAAAATCATCAAAAAAACTTTTACGTCAGATATAGCCAGAAACAGATCCATATATTTGTAACGGTAATAATGAAAATCTGTCCGACGAACCGTCCTAAAACGTAATAGTTGCCATCACTTATTTATTACATGCAGGACATTAGTAATCAGGTATTCTTTAAATATTTGAGCTATTTGGACAAAAACAACCCTTTTAATCTACAAAACATTTGACTCATTAGCTAATTGTGTTTAGAGTACTTATCTTATATTTATCCGTGGTTAGTTTTGCTTAGTGCAGTGAATAGGGTGGACCTATGTAATAAATTGTGAGAATGGTTGTTATATTACGGTTTAGGATTGACAGAGACCAGCTTTCGCATATTGGTGAGTTAATTGTATATAATTCGTTAAACATTTATAATAAATATAACATTTATAAACGTAATATAATGAATGCAAAACAAATATTAAGTTCACTACTTTATTAAGAAATGAACACAAAAAGAAATAAGCATCTGAACGCACACATTTGCCAACCAATATAATATATCTCAATACTTATTTACCACTGACATTATTTGACATATAAAATAAATAACAGTTAAAAAAAACTAGAACACACGCTTTTAAAGCACATCAAACTAAAAAGTGAAAAATAATTCCTAATTTAGGCTGAAAATGGTAATGAACAAAAAATACTGGTATTATTGTGAAAAAGCGTGGGGCGCTCTGTGCCATATTGATGTTCTTTAAAAGCGTGTGTTCTAGTTTTTTTAACTATTATTTATTTTTTAGTTAATTTTTTTAATTTTTATTTTCGGATTATTGCATTGCCATCGATCTTTGACAGGTGCGCAAAGTTTGAATTAAATCTGTCCGTTAAAAGTGGGTCAAAATCGAGTCCGAAGGAGTCGGTTACATACATACATACATACAGGTGAAACTAATATAAAGCGTGTAAAAATCTAAAATACGCCATTATACGAATATATCTTTTCGAGTCGAAACCACCTTCTATTATTGGAGGGTAGTTTACAGTATCGACGGGCTGAACATTTAAATGTATGACAGTTACGGAACGAAACGATTACATTTTGTATTGGATTTATTGTTTCGTCAATTTTCCAATGTTTTAATAGTTATTTTGCTATTTAGACGGAGATTAATAAAACACATGAAGATCACTCCAGCTGTTCACGATTTATTAGTATTCATACGAACCCGACTTAGTTTTGTATATTACAGATTATATGTAAGTAATATTAAGTATAAAATCTCACAAACGTATGCCGAAATAAATCCAGATTATTACTATAGTAGGTCGTTTATGGACTTTTTTCCCTTACATTTGGATATTTACTTAAGATTTTGGCTACTTAAATAAAAAAACACTTTTTAACCTCCCTCAAAAATATGCTAAAGAGGAGGTCATCTCTTCGACGTGTAAACAATATTTTGACAGTGGTACTGTTACTCACTCATTGATACTTTCTATATATAACTACGAATCAGTTAATGTAAATATATATTTAGTTCCGATACCGAAATAGATTTCAAGTACTGACGCCATATTCTCACTACATATAAACATCGATTCCACGTGATGTTTCATTCATTAATATTTAGAATGTGTGACGTTGTAGCCTCCACGTGCTAATCATTTATAGTAAATATATATCGGTTTGATGTCCCATATCGAGGGGCGCAAATGCCTATCGACCAAAACATTTATAATCAAGCCTTTTTTCGTCCGGAATCAAAGCAGTTTCATACTGCAACAATGTTTGTAGACTGTGATTGTAAATTGAGCCTTAAAACGCACGGCTCCTTCAATACAAAGCAGATTTAGTGGTATGTTATATCAAATCAAAGTAATAATTTTTTTAATGTAATAAAAAATGCGGAAAAAATTTCTCAACTTTTTGTCTTAGATGGCGCCTTCCTTATAGCCTGTTTACTTACATACATTTAAATTATATTTATTATTAGTATAATTTATTCAACTTTTCAAACTAATGCATATAAGTCTAGCTAAATTTTTGTTTATGTTCTCGCTTCTCTCGAATGTAGGGTTTATTTTTATCTTAAAAGACCACGCTAATTACTAAGACAAATATTTTTACCTAACCCACTCATTTGGCAAGCCATTAGTCTATAACTGAAAATAAAATGAACGAGTTATTATTAGAACGAAGATGTTGAATGAAGACACGTGAATGTGTGATATTTATGATTATGACGTCGGTGAAGTGGAGTGTTTACATCATAACTTTGATAGTGAATGAAATTAATGGTAATGTCAAATCCGGGCAGTTTTCGATTTCAGTTTCATAAGGTGACCCATGATTGGCCAATGTCATTCTAAATTCCAATATCCATTCTAAATCCGGTAGATTCAGGAGAAAATTCGTTCGTTCTATAGATCTACGAAATCTACGAATTTGCTAGTTAAAAAAACTTATAACGTATGTTTAATGTTACCTACTTAAGAATAAGGTAACATGTTAATGATTAGATAATTTTTTAAATAGGCTCAGTTGTATTTGACCTTGTTCTTTTTACCATTATTTTTATAAAATTGTCTTTATTTATTTATTCACAGCCCATGCATGGCCAAATTCTAACTTTTTTATAAAACTAAATATTATACAATTAAGTTATTTTACAAAATTGACAGAAAGTCTAGACAAATCCCGGACTCATTTGATACATTTATATTAATAACCGAAGTATGTTTATTAAATGACAATTTAATAACACCTTATGAGGTTTATTTAACTCATTTTAGGATATCTTTGTTTGAAAAAGAGATGCGGGGTGTTATATATATATATGTTAAAATTGTATAATTTACATATGTATTAAAAATAGCTAGTCTAGACAGCTGCAGTGCATTGACACAGATAACATTCAATTTCCTACTACTCCTAGTCTTCCAAATTTAAAACGTAACATTTGAAATGACGCTCCATTAAACCCTACATAATTAAGAACTAGAACGTGGTTCTTAAATTATGAATAGTGATTTAGTTAAGGGGGCATTAAACCAATCGGAAATACTATTTATTATATTGAGTTTTCGATCGAGTCTAAATATAAGTCCATAATAAAGTCAGTGAAAACTGTAAGCTTGTACGCAGTCTGGAACGGACATCGGAGCGCGATGCTCTGGAGAGCTCATTACTCCAACGACGAAATAGATTTTATCACACAATACTAGAAAAATATGAGTGAATGATGTGAATAGTGCAAGAACGACATTTTGTGAACGAAATGAGTGAATTGGCACGCGTTTTACTTAGCTATAATAATATTTTTATTGACTCAACCCACCCACTTATCTTATCTTAGATCTAAATACAAAAACATCCCACCTATCTATTATTCATTAATGACGAAAATATTAGTAATCTAATAGTGGTATGTTAGTTTTGCTAAATCGCGCTAAGAGGTGCATCAAGTTGTGTTTTTTTTAATGTAAATGTTTTTTTAATAATTAAAATAGCCGTATTGAGCTTTTGGAACGCAGCCAACAATTCCTTTTTCAAATTTTACCAAAGACTATAAAATGGCGCGACGCGAATCGAATTCTAATGACAATTGACAATAATATTGAAGCTAAATGTGTGTTATGGGAGCACTATGCCGATTTCACGCCAAATACGTTGTCGGTGAGTACAATAAATACATGATTATCTATATCGACGACCTGGTTTTTTGGATGATTTGTTTTCATTTTCATTGAAAACAAACTCCTATTGTGTTCTTTGTGTAGATAAAATTATATTGTTATCTGTTTTTTTAATGATAAGCAAAAACTTATGTGTTTTAAACTTTTTTTAGATGTAAATATATTTTTAATAAAAGAAGGTGCAAGATCGTTCCTACAAAATATATTTCAATATATTTTTAATTATCAATGATACTATTTCTCCAAAGGTTTTTATGTTGCTTTGCTTATTGTTTTGGTCTTCATTATTTGACGGAAATGAACATTAGGTTTAATGTAGGCGTATTAACCAACTAAGCGAAAGTACTCCAGAAAGGGTGAACCAAAAATGTTCATACGGAAAATTAAATGAATACCTATGGAATGATGACCGAAAAAGAAGACTGGTACAGTGAGTGTATTACAAATTGAGTGTCCGTAGGTGGTCTAATAGCGCAGGCAATCTGTCTGTCTGTCAGGCTCGTTAATGTTAACAGCTTAATGTTGTGGAGGCTCCATGTAATTGAACTATCAAGCGATAGACATTCTTCATGCTTAGATCATATACTTTTAAGTTCTCAGAAGTAAATATCTGACTTTAGACGGATTTTTGACGGATTATGAATTAAAGTCAATTTCATAATCGGAAACTGCAGTAAGATTTCAAACATACAAGGGATGGGATAAGTGCGGGATGTCTGCACCTCGAGAACTTAGATAGGAGACGGAGAACAGCTGGTGGTACAGTTATCGGATACTCATGATAAGGACTGCTGCCAAAGTGGATTTTAAAATTTATTTGTTAAAAAAGAACGATTAGGTATTTGCCACAAACTAACGCGACCCCTATATCTTTGAACATTAAGTATTTTACGTGTTTACAAATTTTTACAAATGTTATCTTAAAATTTACGTTACAAATTTTTACAAATGTTATCTTAAAATTTACGTTACAAATTTTTACAAATGTTATCTTAAAATTTACGTTACAAATTTTTACAAATGTTATCTTAAAATTTACGTTACAAATTTTTACAAATGTTATGTTAAAATTTACGTTACAAATTTTTGTCCCTACACTCACAATTGTGGCAGAGTTTGTGTAAATAGATGGACTTGTCTGAGAAGCGTAATCGTAGTATTATAATCGTAATCTCAAAATTTGTTACCATTTTTGAGATTTTAACAATTATAATTAAAATAATGATTTATCAGTCTGGATCAGCTTTTTATCATAAAACATGCGATTCAATTATTCATTCATACATGTAGAAATGACAATGCTGAAGCGATTTCCTGTTTTAAGTAATTTATTGCCTCCATGGCTTAGTAGTTAACGGTGGTGGCGTTTAGTACGGTCCAAACATACTGTTTAAAATCGAGAAACATTTTCGTAACAATATGTATGAATAGAGTAGGGAGAGATATGTTTGCCACAGACCCTATAGGATGTCAAACACAAAGACTATAGGTAATAGGATGTCAAACAATTAAGCACAGTTTAATAATAAAAAATCTTTTAGTAGCCAAGATAGTGGTACAATTAGATCGATTAATTATAAAAATCCACACAATCGGCCATATATAAATAGGCATGCAAATGTCATAGCAATTTTTATAATGTCATATAATAAGAACATTAACATAATGTCATAATATTAAGTTAAGTTATTTATAATTGGTGTCAAACTTATGGTCCAAATACTCGCCCACGCTATAGCCTTTATAAAGGCACCTTGCCTTTAAAAATTTAATCACCTTACCCTTGAAATAATTACACGGCAGCATCTATAACTTCTAGGAAGGTGATTCAATAGTTTTATAGCCATGGTGTAATAATTTTTTTGAATATATCGTGGTGCAGCATGCAGCAGGAGCATGTTTAGAAAGTAATACATATCTGGTTTTATAACATCCTTCACGACACCAACATCTTCCAATTCATAAAGTGCAACAGGCTCAAGTGGCTGGGACATGTGCACCGAATGGCGAACGACAGAACCCCCCTTACTGAACTCACAACCCGGCAAGAGAAAATCCGGTAGACCGAGGCTGCGTTGGTGGGATGGAGTTGTGAAGGACCTCGAAACAATAGAGGTTCGAACTTGGAAAAGGGAAGCACTGGATAAATTGCTAGCTAGAGGCTAAGGCCCACAAGGGGCTGTATAACCATTGATGATGACCAATCTGGTTAATTATGATTCTATAAAACACTTGCCACAACAAAGCTATAACCGCCAGTAACATTTAACCCTTTAGTTAAATATAAACCAAACTAAGCGTGCGTTAACCGCTGACTCAAAATGTATATTTAGAAACGTTGCTGCATCCTTGTTAGACAATAATTAATTGAAATTTACTGCTTCTGGTAAAACTAGACATATTTTACTTTGTCACGGCCTAAATAAACACCCGACGGATCAGTTTTAATTTAACAATATCCTTTGTTTAACCTTATTAAAACGAGTTAAAGATCAATGGAATTCAAATTCAAAATCATTTATTCATGTAGGTAACGCAATGTACACTTATGAACGTCAATAAAGAAATATGTATATATTAAATGATAAAGGCTTCTAATTATTTTACATTTACTGCCAGTTCTCAAATCAAGGGCGTAGAACGGACGAGAAGAACTGGCTGGAATAAACTCTCCGCCACTCTTTTTAATCGCCCAGTTTTTTGTTTTACACAATTTTTGTAAGGAGTTGCAACCATTACACCATGTTCCACGTGACATCTTAAGTAATTAATAGTTAATTAATATCATAAATTAAAAACAAAGATTTGTCCTCTATCAGCAGTAGGCATGGTGAAATAGGAGCACGCACTTACATTCTCGTGGGAACAACCCGCAAATGCATGGTCGAAAAACATAATATTTTAGATTCATATTATTTTAATAACTCTATTACTATTATTCTACTATAACATTCATACTATATAGTGGTATCGTTACCCATGTACAACCAAACTTTTACTTATTTTAAGCTTCATTTTATTTCAATAAAAAGGTTTTATCAGGAAATTACACCGCACGATAGCACGATTAACGAAAACAATAATATCGTATTACAAATACCAATTGACAAACAAACGAATAGATAAAAATTCACAATACTGTACAAAGTGGGTGGTACTACGTTTTAAAGCTTCATGATAAAAATTTTGAACAAAAGAATTGTACAACTTAAAATAATGCTCTCATCCGCCTAGCCTAGATAAAGCATATAATTATTATACTTTTTGTCATCCTTATTTAGGTGACCATTTCGATAACGGCTTCATACTATTAACAATTATGAAGTGTGGGTCTTTGAAACAGTTATTTGGAATGAGCTCATCTTAAGATCACATAAAATTCGAATGGTGCACGCGGAATGAGAATTTGATTTTAATTTAAAGTATAAACTCTTTGCATGTTATATTCTGAATATTTATAACTACGTATAAGGTTTTCTTTTTACTTGGGTAAAACAATGGAAAATAATATTTACGGATATAACGCGATTTTATAACATTCGTTTCGGTCGTTTAATGTCAGTCGTGGTCATCATTTAGTAGTCTGTCATTAAGTTGACAAACTACAGTTAGATTAAAAGTTACTGTTCGTTGTCTCAGTATAACTAGAGAATGGCTGGACCGATTTGGATAATTTTGATCATGAAATATTTGTGGAAGTCCAGGAAAGGTTTTAACGGTGGGAAACGTAAATAATTTGTAAAAAATACTACAAAGACAAATGTTTTCTCCAATAAAAACTCTTCCCAGCTGGCAAATATTTGATGTCTTTTTAGAAATAAAAATTGTATTGCGTTTTGACACAAATAAATTTAGATAATACAAAGTTCACCGAGTCCTCTATTATAGAAATAAATATGTGTATATTAAAGAACAAGAAAGTGGCCATGTAAATAACGTTATAAATTCTCGTTAAAGAAGTTTCATTAAAAAGTATTAAACCAAAATTCTTACTGTATTTAATTGAATTACATGAAAAATTATTTTTTTACGTAAACCTAATTCAGTTTCAAATTTAACAATGAAATATCATTTAATAATAAGCCAGCAACATCACGAGTTTCTTAACCTATGTCATATTTTTTGTTAAATGTTTTGCTTTGTGCTGATTTGATACTGTATCACCAAAAAAACTTTGTATTATTCGCACAGAATTAGGACCTTTATTGCCATAAGTTACGGTTGACTTTTGATTAACAATATAAGATAATAATTTAGAAAAACTAAATGTACCCGAAAAACATCTGAAGGACGATATTATAATGGTTTTTGTGGGATACTGTAAAAAGTGTATCATTATTGTATAATGGTTGAAGTACTTATATACGATTCGTTTCCTGTGCAATTTTTAAATCATTAACAATTTTAAATGTACTAAAGGTTTTTCAAGGCACGATTTTATTATAATAAGTCGTTTATTATTGTATATTTTAAGGTTTCTTTATACCGCAATTATTTTATAGTGTGAATAGAAATTGCCTTATGCTGTGCCCCCTGGATAAGGGCGTCCACAATTATATTCCAAACTTAAACATCAATACAATTATTTGTACTAATACCATTGATATACAAAAAACCCAAGATGCACAGTCTCATATAAAAGTAACGCTCGAAAGTGTCCCGAAACAATATTTCTGTCCATAACAGTATATGTTACAAGCATATATTATTGCAAAATCAACCTTACGCGAATTGCTTAAAGTTGTTATTACAACGCAGCGTATACGTACTTAAAGCAATAAAATTTTACGACCGACCGTGGTCGGTAGGACAAGGTATTGAGTGGAGTCGAACATGACTTTTTTATTTACAACTATTTAACATAATTTTAAATTTATCCGACTTTTCGGGTGCTTTACAGCGTGAGTGACTGAAGACAAAAGGTGTTGGATGTTAAATAGTTGTCAATTTATAATAATACATAACTTTAATCCGGTTAAAAAGTTTTTTCTTTAAATTAAAAAAAAATGTTAAATTGGCTACCTCCTGACCCACACTTTATATAGCGTAAATATATTTGTCAAAAACTACACACAAAGAAGTTCAAGAGTACATAAATTTATATATAAAAAATACACAAATAAATAACATCGACTCCACTTGTAGACGCGAGACTATTTGAAATGAGCGCACAATTTAGAATGTTGCGCTCATTTTTTGAGGACGTTTTTTTGACGTTGAGTGTGCATCTTGGGTTTTTTGTATATCAATGACTAATACTAAACAATTATGAATAAAATTTATTATCAAAATCTACTTATTCATAAATACCTGTCGGATAGGTTTTATGAAAGCTACATAATATAACTTATATCTGCGATACTATTGTGAGCTCTGTTCATACCTAAAAAAACGCCTGTACTTGCATATTTATATTCTTTTATTAACGTAAATCTTTCTTCAACAGAAGGCGAATTAGAAACGGAATGGCTCCAGGCGGCTGGTCTAGGATCTCTCGCGGCACCATTCCAGGCTGGCCTGGAGGTGACGGAGGCCCAGCTGGGTGAGGCCGTCCGACCCTTGCCGCGGGAACAAGCGGCCGCCGTCAGACGAAGAGTCAGACGTCTGAATAGAACTGTTAGACGAAAAAAGGCTGCGACGCGCGCCAGGAAACCTGATATAAGGGATGTCTTCCGTGATTTAGAGGTGAGTTGTATACATAAATTAATTCATTAATTAAACATGAAATTACCCAATCTAAATTGTAATAGACGAGTCATTTGGATGTAGTTAATAAAAATAAATCAGTGGCGCTACAACCTCTTTAGGTCTTGGCCTCAGATTTCTGAATCTGTTTCGTGATCATTTTTAAATCTAATAGGCAAGTAGGTGATCAGCCTCCAGTGCCTGACACACGCCGTCGACTTTTTGGGTCTAAGACATGTCGGTTTTCTCACAATGTTTTCCTTCACCGTTCGAGCAAATGTTAAATGCGCACATAGAAAGAAAGTCCATTGATGCACAGTTGGGGATCGAACCTACGAGCTCACTTGCTCTACTTGGATGTAATATAAAGTATATTATATATATAGGAAACTAACTTCGTTCTGAAATACTCCGAATTTATTGACCAGTGGACCCTTGGTCCCCATTTTTTATTATATTATGTTCTTTAGTTTTTTCAAAGAATACGAGTCTGAGAATTGTCATGAATACTTATTATATTTAGATTCCAATTAAAATATTAAATTCTTTAAATATTGATGTATTTTAAAATTTCTAGCAAATGAAATATCTTTAATCGCGTTCTTAAATGAGAAAGTTGAATTAAAAGTTGACACGATCTTAATTTTTTAGTCTACGTGAAACAAAACCTCATTTCACTCTTATCTGATACCTTAAATGCGCAGTAGTGACCTCTGTTGTGGATTCGTGGACTGAGAAGTTAAAACTTTCTTTCAATACATTTTAATTAAAATGTTATATTGTATATGATACGTGGTGTAGAAAACTGTCCAGTAATGCTTGATGCCTATAAAAAATATTGCCATTTTCTCTCGCCCGTTCTATGCCCATTATCTGAGAACTGGCAGTACCTATAAATTTAGAAGCATGTATTTTTTTAAATAAAATTACTTAACATTGTTACCTATATAAACAAATTTATTTCCAACACACAAATATTATCATTATAATATTATTTGCACTATTCAACTGGAACCAAACTTTTTAAACAACAAATTTAAAAAGCTTTGGTTCCTGTGTTTTAAAATATATATGTGTATAAAATATATTCTTATTTTGACGTTTGACGATATCAAAATTATAATTTAAGTGTGAATTTACTCTTAATTTATGAAGTAAAAACTTGAAAAGCTAAAAGATTTATGTATAGGCTCACTTAAAAGTCAAAGTAGCAAGGTAGCCGACAATTTCTTTGTTAATTTAACCTTTTTCGACTAGACGCCTCGGTGCCTGGTTAAATAAACTATTATATAAACTGTTGACACTCAATTTTACACCTGTGACTTTCAAAAGCGAGGTGAAATAGTTACGAATCACTTTCTAGTATTTACGTTTTATTGTTTATTGCGGTAATTGTACAGTTATTTAAAAAAAATATGATTTTGGGAGGTCATTAAAAAAATCAAATTAGGTTAGATATGTTCTCCAGACCGATTCAGACCCGTGGACTAATCACTATTGAAACTGCCATTTACCCAACTTCCTGCCATAGGGCTCAGTCAAACATACTAACCACTGAGTTATAATAGCAAATGCATGACTTTAAATTTTATAAATATGCCGTGTCAAGCGTTCTTAGATCATAAAAATATTTGACCGAATTTCAAGTGAACTAAAATAAAAGCATTATACTGACATACTCCACAAATGTAAGTGTCATTACGCTAAGTATTTCATGATGCTTCACGTGAATCGCTCATTTTAATGGTATATTGCGCCAAATCGTCTTTACACTGGGTTAATCGGTGAAAATATGCTATTTTGCAAGTCAGCACTTTGCGAGATGCCTTTTTATTGTACTTATAACGTAAAAAGTTGAATGCAAGACAACACTTTTTGTGCTCCCGTCGGCTGATAAACAACTACCAAAGTGCAAACTAAATACTGAAGAACACAACAGTGTTTTACTATACTATAGTAGTTCAATCAAATCAAATTTATTACAACTGGATCGATTAATTGCCTCATAAAACTTTTTATAATCGATTCCTTTAATTCTGTCAGGCACCAGATATCTTTCCAGGTGGTAATGGACTCATTAGAGTGCCATTAGAACCAATTTGTTGTCTATGTCAGCCGAGGACGGTCGTCCAAATATCCCTTTTAATTACGTAAAAATTATTGTGTTAACGGACGTTGAAAATTGCCTGGCGTCCGGCGAATTTCAACGCAATATTACCAGTGTTTGTTGTGTGGAGTGGATGTGTGTTGTGACAATGATTTGTGATACAATGAGACATAAGGTTTGCGAGAAGATGGGGAATTGTAGGGGACTGGCGTTGGTGCGGTCGTATCTTGATATAATGGTATGGCGTCAACAATTTTTCCTTTAATTTTCTTAATCTTCTGTACTTTACAATAAAGCTACAGTTAGTGTTTCATTATCAGCAGTTAATGCAATATCATTGCATCAGTTATTATATCAATTTCTTAAGTTAGCTAAGCTATTAATATTTTACAATGTTTGGCTGGCTCTCCTCGTATATGCTTCTTTATACCTACATCTGTTCATTCATATCTTCATAACGGTAAATACATATGTTGTAGAAACACTGGTAAACTACGCGTTTAAGGCATAAATATGTTAAGGCATTTTGTTAATTTTTTTATGGTTTCTTTGTCAGTCGCACTTGCTGTAAATTCCTTTTTTTAATTCTGGTATGCTGGGATTATCTTCTTCGAAAGTAGGACATTCCAATTAGAGACTTGTACGTAAATCTTAACCCATTAAGATAAACAAAAGTGGTAAAGAATTATGCGCTGATAACAAGAATTAGAAATAGCTCTTAGTGATAACTTATTGGAAATCCTTTAAAAGATAGTAGATTAATCAAAGGTAATTGCGGGTACTGTAGGTACTTGTTATTTTTTAATAATAACGATGTTGTTTTTATTTCCATTTCTATGGAACGTATACTTATATATATATTGTATCGGATAGTTTTGGCAATAGGAATTTATTTAATTCTGTAATTAGCTATAATGCTTCTAAAAATCAATGGGCTAAATATATCTCTAAATTGCCAGTAATATGAACAATTTAAGTGTGATATGACAATACTAACACAAAAATATTAGAAAATTTTGCGCTTTGGAAATTACATTACACAGTAATAATAATACAATCTTGTTCAGTGATTATTTATAAGCAATTGTGAAAATACACAATCATGTTAATGTAGTGAGAAAATTAATGAATTAGTTTAATTATATACGAAGGAAATAAAGTTTTCATTTCTCGAAGGTTTTGTTTCGTATCAACTGCACGCGAGCAATATGCATATAAATTATACTATACCTGTGTCTCGGTTGATCACGCACTTATTAAATCTGCTATGGACTGGAACCTGGGTTCGATTCCGGGGGAAATATCTGTTATGAAAAAAGTAGACAGACTAGATAAATAAATGATTTCTCGCTATTGAAGTCTTAATTTTTTTTCCTTGAAACATTTCTATTCAAAAGAGAATACAAAAGTTAATAAACTAATGTTATGTATGTTAGCAATAAGAAATATGAAGATCCGTTTGGTTAAACATAAAAACTAATAAACCATAGTTTTCAAATTTGGTGATTTTTCATGTTATACTGTTATTAATTAAATTACCTTGCGCGGCGGAGTAGGGGACATATTAATTTTATTTGACCTCGATTCATTAAACCTTCGGCATGGGCAATTAAATGTAGGTCAAATAACTCATACCCGAAAAGGTTTAATTTGATTAGTTTACTAATTTGATAGCCAATACACGAAAGCCGATATGAAAAGTTATTTGTCTAAACTTCATAAATTTTATAACACGCTCAGTTTTTTATCTAGTGTCTCGCAAAATATTAACTATTTACAGGGTAACCGAACCAAAGAGCTTCTTATTTTACGCCAATTAACCACTAAGCTACTAAGGGAAATATTTTTAATAATAGCATAAACCGGAAAGGCGTCATTATTTAGCATGTAACCAAAAGTTCAATACCTTTTTTAACTCTTAAATATCTCTCGCTGTTTCACAAGAAAAATAATACTTAAAATAGATTAAGGGACGCTTAACTTAGAAAATCTTCAAGTATCACAAATTTGTTCTTGCACACGCAACAATAACATTATAATTCAACTGCAGTACGTTAGTTCCAGTTAAAAACATGGCGTTATTTACGTATCCTCTTCCCAGAACAGTCATTCACCCTTTGAATACAAAAAGGAATGATTGTACTTTGATTTAATTAAACACGAGGTTTTACTTGGCTTAATATTTTAATTGCCACGCGTGTACGATAAATTGTATATTTCATTTATAATACAAAATGTAATACATACATTATCCTAACAGACTATGCCAATACGATAATGTCAAAATAAAATGTAAAAAAGTAAATATTAAACACATAATATAATATCGCTACTGTGAATTCACTCTGCGAACACATAAATATGTCGATAGTGTCGCAGACTGCATTCAGTAGGGGCAACGTCTTTGATAACGAGGATCTGTCCAACAGCATGGTATCGCAAATAACCTTGGGCTTCGCATTCGCACATATCCCATAGGTACAAAGAAACCCAGTTCTTGGAACACACCCCGCAAGACTTTTAGTACAATCAACTGAGAGAGAAAGTTAAATCAAGTGAGATATATATTTTGAAATATAAAAAATCATATATAGACTTGAATTAGGAAACTAGGTAGATTAGAGGTTTTTTAAAATGTAACATGGCTATTCATGCCAATTATATAGTTTCATAAATGGTTTAGGTACATTAACATTTTAAACTTTGATTACGAAAGAAGAATCTGCACGACCTCAGGGATGCGAATTGTTCAAACTAACTAACCCTGCTTTTTCCCTTACCACAATATGTTCATAAACATATTGAATGAAACAAAAACAAAATGTATAGTACAGATAACTATTAAAATATAGATTATTTTAATCAAAACTCGTATGATCAAGGTCGTATTGGCAAGGTTGTATTGCAGCCGGCGTGTCTCCTAATCAGTGGACACTGGTTTTTCGACATATCCGCCGTGACCGGATCTTTAGTTGCTTTTTGTTGGACGTAATTCTTTCATGTGCGATTGCATGATTAGAATTTGCATGTGTACTAAGCGAACTTTTTTTCATTAATGTAGTTCGTCTGGACTTTATTAGGCTGGAAGATCGCACGAAGATGTTAAATAATAACTACAATTTTTAATAGCTATTATAATATCATTATTAAGTATCAATGTCCTTGGTTTAATATTTTTACTAAGCACACGAAACATATTAGATTACTATTTATTTTATTAAAAGGCCGGCAACGCACTTGCGAGCCCTCTCAACGTGTGTGTCTATGGCGGTATCACTAAACATCAGATGAGCCTCCTGCCCGTTTGCTCCAAAACTAACCAAATGAAAATTAAAGCAACGTAATTTTTTCTTACATGAGATTTGTGTTTAACGTACCGAAACAGGATACACCTAGTATGCGGGTTAACGCCCTATAATGAAAGGAAAACATAATTGCCTAAATTCAACAAATAACGCAAAATTTATTCATTTAATTGTTATTTAATCGGTCTTACGACGACACGACGATTATCTTTATTGCTGGTACAAGTTAGCGCACCTGACTTTAAAAAAAGAAATGTAAATTCGTGTGAACATTTATATTTACAAAATGAAATAGATAATATATTAGTATTTTTATAATGGTATTCAATTAGTTTTTGAAGCACTATGATTATTTAATTGCAGAACATGCAGATCGATTTCAGCCTTTCGTATTTCGGTTTTCCGATTTGACACGCGGGCTTTCTTTTTTAAAGTATAGTAAATTATAGTAATTTACTATATTTAGAATCACCTTAACGCTGTAAACTCAAATTCAGAATACCTTTATTCATGTAGGTAATCTTATGAACGTCAATATAATAAATGTTAAATTGATTCTAAATTTACATTTAATACCAGTCAAGGGCGTAGAGCGGGCAAGAAGAACTGGCAGGAAACTTTCCGGCATTTTTTTAAATCCCTAAGTTTTGAGTCATACAAATGGTTTGAACTGGAGCAAATCAATCCCAAGGATTAGGATCATATAAATAATCATCAAATTTATAAAAAGCTTTATTGATTAATTTACGTTTAACGAGAGTTTTGAATTTGTTCAGTGATAATTCTCTAATTTCGCTTGGGAGTTTGTAGTAAGAACGAATACAATTTCCATATAAGGAGTGGTTTATCTTCTGGAGCCTGGTTGGTCGTACGCTTAGATTAGTTCTGTTTCGAGTATTATACTGGTGAAAGTCACCAATTGTTTTATAATTGTTTATATTTGTTTGTACATACAACAAGGCTTCAAGAATATATTGACCCGATAGTGTCATAAAAAGATGATAAATACAAAATGCAATGTAGTAATTACATGCAACATACATTTCGGTAGCAAAGTGAAGGTATTGTGAAGTGTTCTCACGTGTAATAATCGCTCGTTTCCAACAATTACTCGTATTCAGTGATTTTAACTTTTGTTAGCTGTTTCAGAACTAATGTTTCATCTATACATAAATAGATGTTATGTTGGTTTGTGTACGCTTCAAAAACTCAAAAAATTCTGCATCCGCATCAAGGATTGTTTTTATTTATATTTTATCATGTTTTTTATTTTTTTTATTTTTTCAATATTTTTTTTTACAAGTATTGCAAAATTAAACTTATATAAAATGTTTTCTTTGTTTTGTTTCTCTCAACCATTCATTCGTGGCAGGGAACAGCTAGTATTGCTATAAAAATGGAAAGTGTTATACATGTGTGTATTTTAATGGGTGTGTAATTCACTTACCCAGTTATCGTATATGTATTGTCTTGTCCTATGTAATCAATGATAGATTTACAAGAGTACTTAAATTTCGTTACAGAATTCAAGTGGCAGCGAGCCTCGGTCGCGCAGTGCGACCCCGGATTCTCTGGACTCGCTGCCGAGCGGCGGATCAGGCAGTCCCCCAACTGAATGGGCTGATGCTGCCACACCGCCTGACTTTGTGTAAGTAAATTCCTCTTATATCATTTTAGTTATTATAAGTTGAGAACTTTGGGAAGAAGTGCAAGAAGTATTGTAATACTATTGTATTATTTTTAATCTGTCTCTACCTATTGAAAAAATTATTTATTAAAGTCAATGGCTTATTCGACTGTAAATCAAACTTTAAAACAATTTAATGTAGATTTTCTTACGCCAGGGAGACTGCTTTATGACTAAAAGTCGAAAATGCTACTTTCTGGTTTTTCTATAAATAAAGCACTAAGCTACGCTGGTGTCCTTTACCCCGCTTCTTCATAGATGTTATTACACTGTTTTTGTTTCGTCATTCTGTGTAATTGTATCTTTGCTTCAAATGGAGATAAAATAGTTAAAACACTGTAAAAAAACTGTTTCTGTTTTTATGAATAAATGCGTGTATAGTAATAGCAAACACAATCCCGTAGTACTAAGTCATTACTTTTTTTTACCTCAGTGATAGTTACCCAGCGGGCACGCACGCACCAATCGCGCGAACACCGTCAGCGCCGAGCGGGCGACGCGCGCGCCTCTCCCCTCCCGGACCGAATTCCCCACCTCGGCCCGTGCACGAGCTGTTCAAGCCCAACGAGCTGCATTGGGCTGATATCGCTTCTAATACTGGTCAGTTTACCTGGTTGACACATAGCCATAATTGTATTACTTCCAAATGACGATCAAATACAAACAGGTAGTGAAGATATATTACGAATGGAAATTGAATGTAAAATTCAACAATAAGGCACCATTCAGATTTCTATGCACGTAACGGATAATATACAGTTGTAGATTGAATTGTGCTAAACACAAGTCCTGGGTTAGATTCAGGGAAGTAATTATTATACCCAGTATTTTGATATTCCTTTGGTTTTTCGATAAACCTATATCTACTATATAAAAATAAGTCGGGTTTTCCTTCCTGACGCTATAACTCCAGAACGCACGAACCGATTTCCACGGTTTTGCATTCGTTGGAAAGGTCTCGGGCTCCGTGTCCTTTCCTGTTTTTCCTTTAATGTTATTGTTTCGTATTAAATGTTGGTACTGTTTCGTTAATCATAATGTGTTCAATTACAGAAGGCATAGAGCTCCTTGGCTACCAACGCTATGGGACCGTACAAGGCCCAAGGATTGGCAAGGAGCGGATTAATGGCTCCATACTCAAAGAAAACGATGTTTTTATGTAAGTAGATAGAATGGAACTATCCCAAGATAAAATACAAAAATTTTATCTTTCAAGTATAATTTTGTAAATAAATTCATATTGTTAGCTTTAATTATTTATTTAATTAAATCTAAAGATTGTTTTTGAAATATATAAACATAGTCTTAAGAATTTTGCCATAAGGGTGCATGTGCCATAGTTGTTCATTTGACTCGCTCGGTTGTTTACGAATGGACGTCGAACATCCGCCTGAATCCCATCCCAGGTCGGGATGAGTAGGGAATAGAACAACAAGTTGCGGCACATTACGCACGGGCATTCTACTTTTAACTTTGAAGTGATAAGTTTATGTAAAATCAGTGAATTGAATGAAGTGAATTTTAGTGAATCGAGTAATTAATGGAGTCTTTAATTACCTAACCTGGATGAGTTATTATAATATACTTATACTCAAAATAAATTTTTTCATAATTTTTACAACAGAAACGGCTCAGTATTATGTTGAATTAAAGTAACATGATAGATAAAAGCTCTTAAAATTGATTTATATCTTTAGTAAGCTATGTAAATAATTTCAGGAAGCACGCGCCTGTATCTCGCACGAAGAGCGCAGCATCTTCGCAGCCTCTCAGCTTCGAACACAAGTTCAACCTCGACCGACAGATGCTCGAACACGACGAAGTAAGCTTTGATAAATAACATCTATCGTCAATATTAAAATCTAAGTCAATATAAAAATATTATACAATTCGAGCAGATTTTGCTTAGATCCCAACCACTATTTGGCATTAGAGAAGTTTTTAAAATCATTTTAAATATCCTTTATCCGTATAAAGTATCAGTAAAAACGGTACAGTTTACCTGATTTTTTTTTACGCAAAGTCCGTGGTTAATAACGCCATCTGTTGCCGTGAATTCGTATTTACAGTTACATTGAACTTAAATTAACTTAATATATATCTAATATATAAAATTCTCGTGTCGCGGTGTTTGTAGTTAAACTCCTCCGAAACGGCTTTACCGATTCTCATGAAATTTTGTGTACATATGGTAGGGTATCTATTTTTCATCCCCCTAAATTTTAAGGGTAGTCCACTCCACCCCTAAATTTTTTAATTTTAATTTTTAGATTATTTTTATGATACAGCATTAAAAAATACTTACAACCCCTAATTTTCACCCCTCTACGATCAACCCCTATTTTTTATTATACATGTATTACATGGCAAAACGACGTTGCCGGATCAGCTAGTATATATATATAATTAAAGGAAAAAATCTACGAAAGACTAGGCGGTATGGTCGAAAGACGAATAGCCTGCGCCATGGGCGAAAAAAAAGATGATTAATTACTGATGATGACTTATTCTTTCCCTTTTTTTTCTGTATGACATAGTAATATTTGGTGATTTTAAACCTGTTGAGTTAACTAAATTTACATGTTGTTATAAGTAAGGATGCAAATTACAGGAATGGCCCGAACACGATAGCACAGTGGACATTGAGAGTTTTGGAGAGTCACAGTTCAAGAAACTCCAGCCTCTACTCTGGCTCGAATTGACTGCGTTATTCGACAAGTTCTCGCTCCCATTCCACAAGAGAAAACCGCCGAAGAAGAAGAGGAAAGAAGGTATATATCTGTTAATTATAGGATTATAGAGCGGTTGTATATATAGTCATTGTCGCCAAGTATTTATAATTTATCTTAATAATGAATTGAATGTAACTTAGGATTTAAGAAATAGTAGTGAGTCTATGGGATTTAAAATCGAGACAGGGACCCTAAGTCCTTAAATCGATAGTTCTTTGCCGAAGAAGTTTACAAACAAATCTAGTATTTACAAATGTTGTTAGTTCTGAAAACTAAAGTTTTTTTGATAACCAACTTAAACTTAAAGATAAGTTGCTAAAAAGGCGCTTCGGGAAATTCTTAAAAACTGTATCAGTTTATGTTTTGTCTCTTTTCGTCACAGCGGAAACACAATTTGACAGAAAGAGACCAAAGAGTACTTAAGTAAAAAAAGCGCAATCAAACCGATTTAATAAAAAAATTGATGTGGCTGATTTCATTATTGGCAAAGTTTCTTTAAAAAAATCTCTTTTTATCTCTGTGTATATTTTCAGAGGGCGCCGTATTCGGAGTGGCTCTAGAAACCCTTCTACGTAAGGATATGATCATTTGGGAAGAAACTTGGAGCTCCGTTCCAGCCATAATTAGGACTCTCATTGAGGCCCTACGAGACAGGACCAGGGATGAGGGACTGCTTCGGGTACCTGGGAATAAGCATAAGGTTTGTAATAAAGAAGTTACCTATACTAAATCTTCACTGGGAATCGTTGCCGAAATCGATATTGCCAGTTAAAACATATTACAAAAAGACGCGAATTTTAAATAATAGCACAAAGTTTTACAAATTGCGAAAAGTACTGAGTCAATCGTAATATTTTCTTCAAATCGTTCTGATTCTAGAAATATACGTGATTACGGTCATACAGTGAATTCGATTTATTTTTTTCTTAGTTTATGGATGAATTCTCAATAAATAAAATACATTTTAGATCGAATCGCTCTGTCAGCTGATAGAGCAGCAGTGGTACAGCGAGCGTGGCGGTGTTCAGGCGGCCCTGTCCCGAGCCACTGGACACGATCTTGCAGCCGTCTTCAAGAGATTACTCCGCGCGCTTCCGCAGCCTCCGCTCACACAGGAATTGGCCAGGCTGTTCTATCACACGTATGGTATGTGTTAAACAAGTTTATATTAAACTTAAAAAGCGATTACTGATCAAGAAACAGAAAAACATCGACTTAAGGTCCTTCAAGAAAAGAGCGTACCAATTCTTAAAAGGCCGGCAACACACTTGCGAGCCCTCTGGCATTGAGTGTCCATGGTCGGTAAGGTACATCAGGTGAGCCTCCTGTCCGTTTGCACCCTGTTCTATAAAAAAAATTAAGTTACGAAAAAGAGACCCAGGGTATAGCGCCACTTTTTTTAAAGCGATTGCACAGTGGATTACTCTCCAATGAATACCTTGCCACTGGAAGGTAAACTAAACTAATTAACTCCATAATAAAGGAAGTTAAACCTTAATTTCCATTGATACACACAAAAACATATGAAAAACAATCGTATACAAATAAAAATCTGCAAAATGCTATGCTTTTCTTGATTTCTCGATTCCATACCTTGCTATACTTTTTTTGTTGCATAAATATCGCACGCAAATTTAAGTTGTGGCCAACTTATTAAACGGTAATAATTCCTTGGAATAAAACCTGTTGAATGAATTTATGATATTTCATGATCCGCCTTTTCGAATACTTTATTTTCTCGTTAAATGTACTGTTCCTTTTTTTATAATATTATAATTCCTTTTATGTAATATTACTATTCTTTTTTTATAATATTACAATTCCTTTTTTATAATATTACTATTCCTGTTTTAAATATTACAGCATTATCAGGCAGCACCCAAGGCCGTGCACTAAATCTCCTAGTTTTACTTCTGCCGGCCGAACAACGTGCAACATTACGGGAGATATTACGACTAGTTCGAGAGATTGTAGAGATGAGTGATACCAACAAGATGAGCGAACATAATGTTGCCATGATTATTGCGCCGGCGCTCTTTCCACCCAGGTATATATTTTTTTATGTTATTAATTCACCAACTAACTTGGCATCTGATAAAACCTAATCTAAGTTTATACAACGAGTTTTCAAGCGTTTAAGAAAACTTGTTGCACTATATTTTTGTTTCCTAATGAGGCATGGAGCAGATACATTTCGGAGTCTGTTTTAAGATGATCTTTCTGTGTTGATTTCTCATAATTATTTTTGGTAACATCAAACCTAGGAGTGTTTGCTTGCACTTATTCAACTTTCAGATATATTTGTAAGTCAAATTTGTTAGCAATTGAAATCGATATTGTTAGACTCGTTGAAACTTAGTTTACAAAGAAAATATACAATTATAAAATGTTAGTAATCGCATATTTAGAGGTATCTAATAATAAATTCAAGATTATAGCATTTTAAGAAGAAAACTTAATTATGTTTATTTTCCAGTCTTCTCCTGAAGCAAACAGACAGTCTGGAAACACAATTAGCAACAGCGGCAAACAGCTGTCATGTCACAGAAGCGTTAATGCGATGGAACGACCAACTATGGATGGTTCCTGCCTCGCTTCTCGCCGCCTCTCAGAGGAAACCGCAGCAACACAGACGAAATAATCACACTTGATTTTAATTTAATTAAATTTGTGACTAGTTGAATATACCGTAAGGTGCTTGAATTGTGCTGTGCTTATTTGCATGTTAGATCAAAAGATACTTAAATATGTTGATAGTTTAAGTATACCTGATTCGATTTGAATGACTATGACGTATACTATTGAATCTAACTTTAAGATACGATATTGAGTGATATTGTTTATTGTATACTCCATATGTTAAGGTATAGTGGTATATGAAGCCAAATAACTTTATTATAATTTAGTATAAATATTCCAGTTGAGGCTAAGCCATTTCCGTGTAAGGGATTGTATTGGGCATGACTAGGTAACTTCCAATCATATATTCTTAATTCTTTCCGTTTTATCTTATTTGTTAATACTAACAAACTATTCTGATTTATTACTATAATTTTTCTTTACTTGGAAAATGATTATATACCTCCACTAATAAACTAGTTAAGCCAAGGTATGTGGTGCCATTTAAGTGATCGGTTACCATTTGGAAAAGGTGTTGTTATTTGGTACCAATGTTATTTACAATGTAATTGAATACAAAAGTTTGCGTAACTGGGAAAATAATGCAAATTAACAATTGTCTAGGCAAGCAAAGACTGACTTGTTATGTATATTATATGTAAGCATATTTACTTCCAATTATAAAAATATATTATCATTTCAAATTGAGTTATTTTTTAAATCCTGTCTGTGTCTTAAATTCTGTGGGCTGGTAGGGTATTTTCTTTTTATGCTTTTAGTACATCTACTAAGATCCACATCTATGTATGAATTGACATGTTTGTATTGCTAACTATTGAGAGACTAGCTCAGTGTTTCCCAGTGTTGCTCAGTGGGGCCCACGCCCCACTGGAGTGGGGGCAGTTTGATTACTTCGGGGGGCTATTCCAAAATTCATTAAAATTATTTGGAATTTGAACTTCCTAGTAATTTCTTCCAAAACCTATAATTTAATTTTCTTAAGTGAACAATTCAATGTTTTTTATGTTAAAAATTATGTATGTTACATAGGGTGGGGCATAATAATTTTAGAAAGGCTAAGGTGAGCCATGGCTTTAAAAAGGTTGGAAAACACTGGTCTATCTTGTGCCTCAAAATCAGCTTTACTGCAAAAAAAGGCAAATATTTCATCACATTTTTAATTTATGTTCTCTTAAAACAAATTCATATAAATAAAAAATATAGAAGTACTAATATTTGAGATTTTTTATCAAATATATGGCTTCATTATCGGCAGCACACAATACTCTTCCTTTGTTACAGTGGATTGTATTAACTGCCTTATGTAAAGTGGGGATTAACGACGACACATTCATTGTAGCTTTATCATCTAAGGGTACATAGCTATCACCAGATTTCTTTGTCAATGACTCCATATTCCAGTCCCATACATCACCAGACAACGAGCATGTTATTAATTTGTTTGGGTTTTCTGGATGAAATTGCATTTCAGTAACACCAGATGAATGTGCACTTAATTGTGAAGTAGGGAATTTGTTCATACGTAAATCCCACACTGCCAAAGAGCCACATTCACTTCCAGCTAAAATTATATGCGGTTGAGTTGGATGTTGGACAATGCATGTTGCTGCTACTTCTTCGCCAGGAAAATGGAATGATGCCACAGGTTTGTTGCTATCTCTTTTAATATCCCAAATCTTCATGTGTCCTCTTAGATTTCCTGTTATGACCTAATATATAATAAAAATATAGCTTTTGAGATACAAAAGTTGTTAAAAAATAGAATATATTAAAAAGCAGCAGCTTATAAATATGCTCACTTGAAAAAGTAAGAAGGAACTTTTAAGATAATACATTCATATTAAACTTTTAATTATTTGTAATTATTATGTATGTATATATATTATGCAATGCCCAGTCAATATTAATAGCAAACTATTTGTTTCCACTGATGCTATAACATTTAACCTGTCTTACCTCATTTAATTTAAGAAAACAGACAGAATGAATAGAACAGCTGTCAGTATCTGAAATTGATCTAGTTATATCCCCCCTTCTGCCGTTGAGTATGTTTACTTTCTCATCTTCACCTACAGTTACTATATCACCCTCAAAGGTGTCCAGGGCAGTACAAGAACATCTTTCAGAACTAGAAACACAAACAGAATGATTACTGATACCAATATATGTATAAGGCAATTAGCAATATGCAAATAAAATAGACAAATTCTAATACTTAATTTCTGTTACACATCCTACAAGAGTAAATTAAAATAGAAGGCTACAGCCTTGCTTACGGAGATCTTAGTATTCTAGTTTGAAATATCATTTGTGACAGTACTAACATATTTGGATAGGTTATAAATTATATTCAATCATTAATTTTTTTGTTTTTGTTTGTTGTCCTACGAAGCTTGTAAATCCAAGTAAATAATGCTACTCAATATTTAAACAGTATTTTGCCTAATCTCAGTCATTAATACTGGTGCTGAACCTGAAACCATGGTTGTACAAACTTACTTGATATGATGCAATTTGCTCCAAGTGTATACTTCTCTCAGTGGGCTGGTTCTTTCATAAGCACTGATCTCTAGCAACCTTACTTCCCCGTTGGATAGAGACACAGCAATTTTGTTTTTATCAATTAACTTTATTTCCGTTACATCTCCCGCCACTTTATATTCTGACAACTCACGCGGATTTTCCACATTTTCATCCTCATGGACACTCTCAAATGTCCAAACTTTTACAGAGTTTTCATCGTCGTCCCAACTGCCAGTAAAAAAGTGTTTAGTTTCCACATATTCTTCAGGAATCCACCGAATTTTATTAATTTTTTGTGACACAAATGTTCCTTCAATGTCGATAGTCATTGTTACCTATTTAAAAATCTTATTTGGGAAATAACTGAAAAATTGTAAGCGTTTTTGTACAGAATTAACAAATACTATTATTAATAAAACTCATGCGGTAGTTTGTAAATTGTAATTATGTCCCGGTTCCGACTTCCGGTTGTTGATTGTTGACAGTTCACACTTGAATGTTGATTTTTGAGATTTGACTAACTTCGCATAGGTTAGAGTACAAGCGGATGTCAGGAGTCAGATCATAGATAACAGCTGTTATCAGCTGTTTGGTTGGCTGGTCTGTTGCAAGCTTAATATTGTAAGAAAAAGTAGTAAAAGTTGGGTTTAGAATAATTAAAATAATTATTAGATCAGGTTAAAATTTACGTTTTAGAGAACGTCGAAAAGAAATTAATTAATTAAAATTAATAAAAAAAACTATATTACTAACCAAAGTTAAAATGAACTATTATGTGCGTTTTCCAATTACAGAGCATTATGCGACTCAGTGCCGCACAATGCCGCATAATGCTGAAGCTTAATTGGAACGTGAATTAGTTTTCAAATGATCAGCAGAGTGCGCTAAGTCAGTGTTGTAAAAAAAATGTTATGAATTGAGTTAGCAACCTCATTAATGTATAAATAATGTGGTAAACAATAATAATTGGTTGAAAACTTTTTACGCTTATTTTAATAATCAAATTATTTCATTAACATTTTTTTATTGAAATAAGAGAAAACCTTTAAAGAATATAAGGTTTAACAAGCTAAATTAACAGTAAAATATTTAGTTTCATGTAAGAAGTTTACTGAGTAGTTTTTTGAGTAATTTTTTTTAATGATTTCTAAAAAAATTATATACTTTTTCAAAACCATTGCAATTTTTTCTAAAGTATAATCCTGTAAAATAAATTTGTTTACAGATCCGAATTTTAAAATAAAATTGTATTCATATTTTAAATGTGGAATATAAAAAAAAGTAACTATTTATATAGGTCGGTTATCGAAAGCTGGCGGGTTCACAGTACTCACAATAATGCAATTTCACATACAGTATGTTTCAAAATATGATTTTTTTGCCATGCTATACATTTTAGTCCACTCATACACGACGGACTGTCTATTCATGATGGGTGTATTTATAATTGTATTTCAGTTTGACATCACGTCTCGCGCTTATTCACAGACACTACACAAGCACAAAGTGTAAATGTGTTGAAGCCGCCAGCTTTAGTTAACATACCTATACCTTCATCCATACTAATATTTTTTTTTTAGCAGTTTGAAATAACTTTAATTATTTTCAAAATCTACGACGAAACGAAAGCTTTACACATTTTTCAACAATAAATAATATTTACTAACGAAAATTTCGATAAATGCCAACTTAAAGAAAAACACTGGTCAATTTTCTGTCACTGTGTTGGTATTGTTTGCGAGAAGCACGCGAGAGCATTAGTTTTGAGAGTGCTCAATTGTGCGAAGCGTTGCTGTAGTTGGAACACTCAACGTTGAGCATTATGTCGCATAATGCGCTCTAGTGCTGTAATTGGAAAACGCACTAAAGCTACTTATATTATTAATGCCCCCACCAACACTAAACCTTTAATATAACCTACAGACAAATCAAACTAATATGCTTCATAATGTCGGTTAAGTAAATAAGAAAAACAGTACCATATCTAAACTATTTGCTTTAATGGTGTTAGTTCTGAAAGAGGTTCGTACCCTGCCCTAGATATATTTGAGGGGTATATCCTCTAAGGCCACGTTCACACGGCGATTATTTTCCCGTATACCGTATACGAGATTTTATCGAATAGAGTAGTGACAACAGAATATATATGAAAACTTAAAAATTGTTTACACGGCGTTCATACGGGAAAATCCCGTGTTCGAGAAATATTTTTGACCGTACTAGTTCAATGTCATATACTGACAATAATTGTTCTTTTCTGTTTTCTTAAATTTGATGAAGTAAGATAGATTGGAAGCAAGTTGTTTATAAGTATGTTTTGTAAGTTTTTTTGAGTGTAAGTACATCATTTGTAATATAAATTGCCATTATTGTAAATTATGTACCTACCTACAATGTTCGAAGACTAAATGTATGAGGATAAAACTGTATACTTTTGTTGATACCACCAAGAAAAATATTTGTAAGCAAAATATGGTTCTTTGCCTTAAGTTTGGAACCTGATTCAAAAACAAACACAAAAACATAACTATAATTCGTAGCGCTAGGCAACTACTACACATAAAACGCAAAATATAATTTATTATTAAAAACTTTTTGAAGGGAATCTCAATGTTTGCCTGAGCTCAGCTGAGTGATGTATTTAAATCATTGATATACAAAAAACCCAAGATGCACAGTCTCGAATAAAAGTAACGCTCGAAAGTGTCCCGAAACACTATTTCTGTCTCTTTCTATAAGTTACAAGCATATATTATTGCAAAATCAACCTTACGCGAATTGTTTAAGGTTGCTATTACAACGCAGTGTACTTAAAGCAATAAAATTTTACGACCGACCGTGGTCGGTAGGACAAGGTATTGAGTGGAGTCGAACATGACTTTTTTATTTACAACTATTTAACATAATTTTAAATTTATCCCACGTTTCGCGTGCTTTACAGCGTGCGTGGTCACGGTGACTGAAGACAAAAGATGTTGGATGTTAAATAGTTGTAAATTTATAATAATACATAACTTTAATCCGGTTAAAAAGTTTTTTCTTTAAATTAAAAAAAATGTTAAATTGTCTACCTCCTGACCTACACTTTATATAGCGTAAATATATTTGTCAAAAACTACACACAAAAAAAGTTCAAAAGTACATAAATTTATTTATAAAAAAAAACACAAATAAAAAAATCGACTCCACTTATTAGAACAGGGTCATTTTTATAATGCGACTTAAATAAAAAGAAGACTGTAATGCGTTGTAGAACAACACTGAACAAGCAGCCATTGAAGTTGGCCGTATAGAAGTTTGTGCGTTTAACACGTTCACTGCGGCAAGTAAAATCATAATTCTTCATCAGGTGCGGCGGCGGGCCAAAATGCGCCCCCAATGATATTTCCGCCAGTGCGTGGCAGGTCTTTCTAGACCCAACAGCACTAGGAAAGATTAACTCTCAGTGGATGCACAGCAGCGTCAGTGCGTGGTAGGTCGATAAAAGCCTGCCGTTATGTTTTGATGGGGAACACCTACAATTTTGACCGCAAGATGAAATATATATTTGTCCCTGTCGAATTTTTACAAACACCTGAGATAATCGTTACGCACCAGCGAGAGGGACATAGATTTCTTCGTCCGCACCAGCTGAAATACCGCGGCAGGCCGATATCGGCCTGTTACGCAGTGAACGTGTTAATGAAGTTTTTAGAAAAAATAAATAAAAATCACACATTGCTTGTTATAATCAGTCATAAAAACAACAAAAACTAATCAATAAAGTTTTTTACTTACCGAAAATACGATATCCCATCCTTTTTTAGCCTTCTTGACGTAATATTTTTACAATTTCTCACAGAACACTTTGACATTTTTGACAACTGCTCCCAGACGCGAGCGACGCGAGACTATTTGAAATGAGCGCACAATTTAGAATGTTGCGCTCATTTTTTGAGGACGTTTTTTAGATGTTGATTGTGCATCTTGGGTTTTTTGTATATCAATGATTTAAATAAACTAATTATTAAGACACAATCTTACCGTTAACATAGTCTATCATCGGTTTGACAGCTCTAGAAGTACGATTTTATTTGAAGTATGTTACAAATTTAATAACAATAGGCAAACGGGCGATTCAGCTGACGTAGATTCGATCTACGATCTTCGATCGAGGATCTATTGGCGTAGGGTAGATAGTAGAAGTAGGGGTTTTAAAGCATACCTTAATTCATAAACAGTTGGAGACGGGAAGCCTAAGTGACCGTCCTTAAGAAATATATGGATGAGTTGCAAGACCATAGGGCAGGAGTGTGGACAATTACATCTCGTATAGATCCAGTGTTCAACTTGTGGGTAATTTGAAGATGGGGGGCGCTCTCTTACCGACTCGTTCAGGTCCTCACGAGCCATAGATGTTTCGGGCGATACCTTCACAGGGCGTCAGAAGGGAGGCGTTCCCCATTTGTCACAAGTGTGGTTTCGCCTTCGGATTAGATTTGGTGCTTCCCGTACCTAATAGTGAAAGCCATGGTTGAGGCTGAAATCGACGGCCTATGGAACACTTTCAAAGTGTTCCGTGTGGCCGTCGTAGCACTTAAAGAGAAAGCGGAGAGGGTTTGGGAGTGTGACCCAGATGCCGACCCTCAACGCAGAAAAAAGCCTGGAACTAGCTCTGTGACCCTCGCACCGGATTCGCAGTAGCGCAGCAGACGCTCTTGACGGCGACATGGATTAAGGGAAACTGTTACCGCGCCTCCTGTGTCCATAGCTTGCAAAAAGAGCTGTTGGGTTTTAGTGCGTAGGGGTCCACACAGACCGACCCCCACACTCCCCGCGTCTCTTTACCAAGTTACTACGCGCGGGGGTCTTTTCCCAACAAAAAAAGTGTAACCTGAGACTAACTCATTGGAATGAGTAACTCATATAATGAGTTACTAAAATTTTGTTAAATTGTTTTTGATTTTAATTTATTTTGTTTTAAATTTTCAAAAAGAACTGCCGAAAATACAATAATTAAGCTAATATGTAGAAAATCATGTGCGTTACACCACTTCTGCATAAATATTATTTTGGTTGTATTTAAAAAAAACAGGTTATAGAGTTAGAGTAATTATTAATCTGTCTCATCATAATACACTTAAGCCTGACCTCTGTTAGAACAATTTAGGCTATTAATGGTGGTCGTCGGTATTTTGACACTGAAAAAAACTTGAATATTTTTTTAAGTCGAAAATGAATGAAGTTTATGGAATTTTAACCACTCCGCCTTGGTCTTACTGAAAATTGAAATTTTTCTATTGGTTAAATTTTTTCTAGAGATTTGTATGAGAAAAAGTCACTTGGTCGTATAACTTAGTGGTAATTTTTACGAGCTGTTTTAATTACTTCGTTCCAGTTTTCTGGAACGTATAAATCCAATCATTCTTCTACATTTTTTATTTTCTTAATAATTAGATGATGATGAAAATGGTCTCTGAATACGTTGAATTAAAAGACGAAATATTTTTATTTGTTTATTATCATCCCATTGAACAACACCCCCTCAAAAATATCTATCTTATTTCAATATGTTCATTATCACATTTCATACTTTATGGGGTTTTTATAATTATTGCACACACCAATATTATGTCATAGTATTGCTAGTTATAAATTAAATAGATGTCTTTATAAAGCACCTTTTTTTATTATTTTTTTAATCTAGCAATACTTTGACTGGAAGTATATATAAAAATTACTTCAATAGACACAACCACTAATTTTATTGGAATGTTCCTATTTACAACTTTGGCATACACTAAACAATGATTATAAAATGGCACTATTCTATTTATTTACACCATACATAAGTTATAAAATATATGAACCCCTGAAAATATATGCCTAAACTAAAAGCACCTTTAATAATATAATTATTGCAATTATGTTTTCAGCTGAATATTAAATAAGTTACACATTTGTCATTTACATTCAATTGTTTTATGTCAAAAACAAGGTTATGAATTAAATATTCTCCAAATAAATTACCGTTTTATGTATTAATTATTAATTTCTATTTTTTGTTGTTAGCTCTGTCTCTATTCAAAATCGACTTCGTACTGTGACATAACTACAAAACAAGTTTATGATGATCTAAACATGTAGTAGTTATTTACCTATGAAACCCATTTACAAAATTAATTGTCAAAATTCTGTCAATAAGTTAATAAACATTTAAGACATTTTGCCGCTATTTGCTGCTAAACTTAGATTTTAAACTTTCAAAAAAGGCTAATTTTGTCTTAATAGTGCCAGGCGTGGGGACTGGGCTGGGCGGTCTTTCTGGACTATGCTCCTTAACAACCTCGTCTGCACCTTCAGGGATTTCGTTGGCTCCTCCGGGAACCTTTATGCTTGTAGGCTTAGATAATTTTAGTTCTTCGCGAAATTGTTTGGAAATGCTTCTAGCTGTAAGACTGTGCATGTATAACTGTTTCGACTTATCTTTTGTATCGAGAAGGTTCTCTTTACTCCTTTGCCGCCATAGTTGGTGTGGTGGCTGTAAAATTATAATTTTTATTCACAATTTGCAAACAATCTATAATAATTGTACGTATGTATGACGCATGTAGATAAATCTAAAACTGGTATTTCAATGGGATATTTTGTATTTTTATGTTAAAATAGAAAATTAAAAAAAAATAACGTTCTATTAATAACTATTCGGTATTTATACTACCTTTGATACTTTTACGATTAAAATTGGAAATCGTGAATAAATCCCTTACTATATGTTTAGTTTCATTTTTGCTCAGACCGATTGGTATGTAATACTTGAATTTTTTTATCTTTCTTATTTATAATTAAGGTACAACATCTATTCAGAAAAATACAGTCTACGCTTAAGATAACGCTATTATGCCAGATTATTGTAAGTGTCTACCCTCTTAATATGATAAAAGGTCTAACAATAATTGTTTATTTACTATAAAAATTAAAGAATTTATCATAAAGTAAACACAGGTGTAAACTAATTAAGTACGCGTCATGGTGTATTGAAATTTAATATATTTATAAAATTATGAATTACATAAAACTCACCTTAGTAGGTTCGTTAAGATTGTCCATGCTGACAAACTTTTTCGCGAGTTCCTTCACTTTTGGTAATTGCGGTAATATTTCGTCTATTTCACTGATTTTTTCGAGTTTACTTTCTGACTGTTTCAGATCTGGTTCGACGCCGGCGTCGTCGCGCAGTTGAACGTTTTGACTGAGCCTATCGATAATTTCGCCGGAGATCTTGTTATCAACTGAGTGTATATTGTCGTTTTCGTCACACTCGTATCGCGATACCTTATCTTCTGGTTTGCATTTTACTATCTCGCCCGTTTGAATATTATATATTTTGATTGAATCTTCAATGCTGCTGGAACTATATGAATTTTCTATACTTCGTGTAGGTGATTTTTCTGGTTCGGTTGACTGCGTTCTTGTGTTAACAGAGTCAAGTATGTCTTCGAATTGTCTGTCCGTCTGATCCTCTACCATAACCGGTTTAGCAACAAATACCTCAGTCGTATCTTCGTATTCTATTAATATTTCATTTTTACCCTCTATTGGAACTGTCGTTACTGATATATTGTTCGACTCTTTACCATTGAATTTTGTATAGTCTTGATTAGCGGCAATGGAATTAAATTGCTGTATTAGCAATTCCTGAAATTAGGCATGATATTAATTTGTTATTTTATGTTTAAAATAAATATATTTCATGATAATATGAAGATGAAAATGAAACTAAGCCCCGTTTTTTCTACAGACGAAAAAGGTTGGATTTATGTAAATTAACATTTTACATTTAGGTATAGTAATTAATTAGTAATTGCTAAGGCGTTTATGTGTTATTAGTCGGAAGCAGATGCTGTGAATGCATTAGAATGAGAGTTGTGTGCAATGTTAAAAGAAACAGTTTTATTAGAATCGTTAGTTCGCAGTAAGCGTTGTTAGTCAAATCATTCACCGTAAACTCACAACACTCACCACTAAGTTCTTGGTGGATTACTGTTGGCATACTGAAACTTAATCAGAAGGGCACAACTATTAAGTGCAGTACTAGTTTATTAATAAAGTGCGGAGTGCTGTTAGTCAGCTGAAATCACCATGCTAACTTTTAACACTCAACAGGCATTGTTTGTGTTAAAACGAAGATATATCCAGAAATATGTGATGAATGTATCATTTGATTTGTGATTAAAGAGAATTTAATCCCTAAGTCTATGCATGTATTGTACATAGTAATGATTATAAATAAGAAACTGATCTAACTACTTAGTTAAAGGAGGTGTATAAATCGGAATGTTATGGTGATTCACCATATGTCGGCGTGAAAGCCTTTGTTTAACCTGAGACTCCCACCGAACGCGTAATTGAGGGCAGGCCGTCGCTTTGCCCGCGCGTACGCATCTCCACTGCGCAGCGTATTACTCCGCCTAACATTATGATACGTCTCAAAAAGGTCCTCGGTTATTTCTGGCATTTTTGGTATTTTTAGTCTAACTATATCCTCGTTTTCCACATAACCGTCACCTCCATATTTATTGTGATCTCTTACATTGGCACGGCTGACGTTGCGCCGATACGCAATGTCATCGGAATCTATGGGATTTTCGAAAATGGGGTTTATGGCAAAATTGGGGCTAGCGTTTCTAGGGCTGAATACGGCGCGGACGATGTTCTGATGAAGGGCGCAGGCTTCCAGATCGCTCAGTGAGCTGCTGGCACTTACAGGGGAGGCGAAATCAGTATCGAAATTGTCTAAGCTGCTCGATTTGTTGATCGAACTCGATATTGAACTTGTATCGCTAAACGTCTTCTCTCGTCCTCCTGACGAAAGTTTTGCTTCTTTAATATAATAATCTCTGCCGTAACTGTGTAAAACAGATATATTAATTAAAATAAAGAAAAAAATAATTATAAATGATCTTTATGTAAATAGTCTTTACCGTTTGTATTGTGGAACTTCTTCTGCCAAAACATCTTTTAACATTTTCGGCGATGGACTCGGTGAACGATCGTTAACATTCAAACATTCTGTACTTTGGCTAGAATTAATTTTTTTATATGTATCTTCACCGTCCGTTGATTTGGTTACTTCCTCATCTGAAGCGAACTTATCGTCTAAATTATTTTTAGATGTCAAACTATCGAAGAGGGAGGATGTACTTTTCGCTAACAATCTCTTCTGGATCGCTTCTGGTGAATAAGGATTGTTTGGCATTTCGACATAATTCAACCATTTTTTCCTCTCTCTGTAAGCTATGGTTCCTGAAATGATATTACATTATTAAATACTATTAGAGTAATATTTGTATCAATATCACGTATCATACCTAAATCCTTTAAATCTTTAGGACAATCTAATAGGAAAGATATGACATTAATAGTAGTAGTAATAATTTCATTTTTAATGCATTACATAAAATATCCTTACCTGGCATAAGTTCATCTTCGGTTTCGTTTGATGCTGGTTTACTGAAATCAAAATTATATTTGAATATCTTTGTATGTATATGATCATATTGGAAATTTATGTCATAGTAATATGTTTGAGGTGGTAAGTACTTTGTAGGATGACTGATGGAGAAAAATTTTCTTACCCACTTAAGTTCACGTAATTCTATTACAACTCAATTATTATAACCTACTCAAATGTAGGTATGGTTTGAATCTACTAATTTTTTATTTAGTAAAATATGACCGTAAAAAGGCTGTGGCTTAAAAAAGCTAACGCTAAATTAGTAAAAAGTCGTTGAATTTAGTCTTGACTTACGTTTGAGGTTCATCTTCAAAATGTTTCCTCCGTAAACTATCAGCGTAACGTTGTACTGGGATCGTTACTGTCTCTTCATATTCACCTTCACGTTCGTGATTGCTCAGCGTATTTGTCGACTCTAAGATGTATGAAATATTCTTTAAGTAAAAATTTATTTTAGGTAAAATTTCTAACTACCCTTGCTTTAAACTAAATTACCATAGATTACATTTAAAAACATAGCCGGACAAAATTCTGCCTCTATTCCGTTGATTTATATGACAGAAACAGAAATACTATATTTCTGTTTCATAGCCCATGAGAATCCTCACTTTAATCTCAGAACATATTACACAAAATAATAATACCTTTTTCGTTCGGAATTCTATCCATTTCGAGACTGTCAATGGACATTTCTTTTGTATTCCTTAAATCTTCAAACACGTCGTGACCATTTATAGCGGTTCTGTGAATTTCTTCTTTTAAATTGAATTCAGTTTTTGGTAATGGACCACTATCTACACCGATTAACAGTATTGAGTCTTCATGGCGATCTATTTCTTGTATCCCTACATTTTTTACTTCTACTGCGTCGACTGTGTCTTCGCTTTTAGAATATTCATTATAAATTTTCTCGAATTCCTCGGATCCGTTAACAGACATAAGACTGTCTGGTTCAAAGTCCAACACTTCGTCTACTTTAGGTTTACCTCCGATAACGTGTTTTGATTCTAGAACCTTTTTTATATCACTCTGATATGTTTCGTTCTCTTCATTATCACTTGCATTATCAGAAAGGTCTGTTGTATCGTCGGCATCCCTGTCGCCAATTAAAACTCTGTACTCTGTATTAGAGTTTGGGACTAGCATAGGAACCGGAACTGATTGAATGTTTTTGATTTTCTTCTTTTGGAAAAGCCAGTTCTCCTCCCACGAACCATCGATTGCTTGGATGTCACTTCCAGAAACTTCGTCGAAGTCTCGGTCAATGTTTTCTGAAATTTAGATATATTATTTCGCATTATTCTATATTCAATATTACAGTTTACAACACCAAAACAGAAACGTTATGAAATTAACATAACTAAAATCACATTCACAAAAGCTAATCTTTTTCATATTTTTTAAGCGTCCCTTCGAGTTAAATTACTTTTTGGAGTTTCTCTTTTACATAAAAGTCTATAAGTTTTTACTGGATCTTAAAAAAACGGGAATTGAACCCATGAACCTAGGGCTAAGTAAAGCTAAGTAAGTTCTAAAGAACGCCTTAATATGATATAATGATTATTTGTGCATTTTTTGTCATTAACTTATGTATACCTTGTTCTGAGCTAAAGACATAGTTTATTCTAGAGCATTATGGTATGTATTACCTGTTGGGTGGACAATATCTCCACCATATTCGGGGAAAGGTACGCGTCGTGGCAGTCCCACGGCATCATCGTTGGCTTCACCTTCTTCCCAATCTGAGACATCGTCCTCACCACGAATCTGAAATATATTTTATAATCATTAATTAGTATGTAATGATAACCTTCATAGTTGAAAGTATTTCATTCAACTCTTACTTGATGATAATTATTGGTAGCACAAATTTAAAATAATTAGAATATTTTTTTGAAGTGATTTTGTGCATGGCCATGATAACTTTTATTTATTAACGAATCATTTGACAAAATACAATAAAGTAGGTAAATAACACATAATAAATGACACTGTCTAATGCTACTATAAAATAAATAATTTATAAATAGGTTTAAACAATTTATGTTGATTTGCTGTGTCGATCTGCAAATCAACATAATTAACATAATTTGCAGTGTTGAACTTCATTCAACAGTCACTTGTTTTTAAGCGCTAACCCGCAACAGATACAGTTAGAAAAATAATGCCAAGAGATTGTTTAGGTTTCTCTAGAAACGTACAATTATTTTTACAAAAGTCTCTAATTGATTTGTGATACGTTTGAAGTGAAACCCTCTCACATAAACTATCACCTGCAATTATTTATTATAAAAATCCTTGGAGTCTTCTATAGGAGTCTTCTATCATCCTAAATACGAAAGTAAGGAAACTACTTTTAATTCCATACAGTTACTGGTATACAATAAATTTGTAATCGTCCGGTTACTCATAAAGAGGAAAACGGTAAACATGTTGTTTGACAAGTAAACTTACAGCACTGACAGATGGTGAAATTTCCCTTGTGTTACGTGAGTTGAGTTCCAATGACCGCGGAGATGATCTTTCGGAAGGCGATGGACTGGCACTGGCTGAGTGGATCCCGCTGCTGCGACCGCCGGATCCGCTCTCCGTTTGGTAGCGTTCTATGACCTGTAATTGTATATTAATAATTATCTGTGTATGACACAGAATTCTCACTAAGTTGGTTTATATGTGTTTAGAGTAGTAAAAAAACTAACTTAAACTTTAACTAACTAACTTACTTAAGCTTTAGCCTGTCAATCATATTTTTATTCCAAAAAAATTATACTACATAAGGGTGATTGACACATAGGAAATTTATGTTTTTTTCTGGAAAACTTCTAAAATAATTAATAACTTATACCTACCATTCCTACCGAAATATAGTATGTATATATTTCTTCTATAGTCAATATATTAAAATCAATGTAAAAGACATTTGTAGAAATTTGAGTAGAAAGATAAGATTCAGTTATAGCTTAGATTTACATTGGGAACACGACGGACAAGACACAATGTACTTAAGAAGCATTTTTTCAAAGCATTGCTTAAATCTAATTATATAATTTACTAGACCATAAAAGATACATTATAAATGAGTAGGTAGAGTACATACACACTGCGTTAATAATGAGAGAAGTATTCAACCATAAATAAAAGTATGTGCTCCATAAGTTTAGCGTCCCTTCGAGAGGAAAATGCGCTACGCTATTGCTGCAATATAACCAAAAGGCGATGATGATGATGTTTATAGCCACTAGAATTAATTTGAAAGAATAATAAAAATTAAATTTGAAATCAATTTTCATTATGAGAGAGATAAGATAACGTTTTAAATAATTAACACTCGATTAACTAGAATCGCAATTTGTATATAGTTTTTAGCAGCTCAAACGAATCGACTATAACATTTTATAGCACGACGCGTTTATCAAACAAAAATATATTACGTTACTTTCATTAGGAGATATTGTGTCGTAAAGTCAAGTCAAAATATATGTATTAATTTTGGTAAATTTTGCACACATAGGATCGCCAAAAAATTATGAATTGACTCTAAATTTACTATCAGCCTGTAATTAAATTAAGTAATACAATGTAATAAATAACAGCTGCAACCATTAAATCGCTTCACGTGATAAGGAGTGAAACATTATAATAAAAATGATTACATGTATTAAAATTTTAAAGTAGAAGCCAGTGATAAAAACTGCACATCAGTTATCAAATCAATCTGTCGTTAAACGATATATTATCAGATTATAGTGATTTTAAGGAATCTGCTTTGGCCCTTGATCTCTGCAATCTTATCACTGTTAACATACCTACGCCAATAATTAGCAAATTTGCATACTTTTTATAATTATATAATTTATTAAAACTGGATTAGTTACATTTGTTTTTATTTCTATAGAAAGCTACGTAAAATATTGTTTAAAGTTATAAGTCTGTTATAATAATTACTTTAAGTTTTTATATGGTGTAGAAAATCACTAACACTTACTTAGTTATGATAAAATAAAAGGAAAATATATTTAGATGTGTAATATCAATAATATTAAGCTACAACGTCCGAATATGTTTATGTCTATATATTAACACGTTTTTATTTTAATTATCAAATATACAGTATTTACAACCTTCTTAACCTAACCGTAATAATAAAAATAAATAAAATTAAAACAAATGTAAACAGTTTGGTTCCTGTTGAAAGGAAAAGGCTGGCAGCATTTCCTCGCTGTATCGCGACACTTATTCGTTGAGGGAGGAAAGCACCAGTTCTATCATCACCGGTACTACCTGGCGCCAATTTAATCAATCTATTTTATTATTATTATTTTTTATTTTAGTTATAATAAAATAACTTAAAAGTAGCATGTAGAAACATTTAGTATTTTGTTCAATAATGCAAGAAATATATAAAATATAATAAAGGTAATTAATAAGTAAAGAGTAATTAATATAAAACTGTAATACAAATAACGCTCTGAACTTCGTTAATAATTTTAACAATAGCTAACAAAGACTATTACTCGTAAATGACATGTTACCTGTGTATCTTGACTGGAGTCAAAAGAACCGTTCATAGTTTCGATGCTCACCAAGATAATATTAATACAGCTATTTAGAATTAATTGTAGAAATTATACAATGAAATTCACACGGTGCTGCACGGTTTTCACTAGAACACTGGCTTGTGTCGGAGCGACAGACGCTCTAGGGTTGTACATTTTCGCAATAATAAAACAATTTCATTACTTACTCAAAAACCGCTGTATAGAGATAAGTGCTTTATAAATTAAGTGTAAGTAATATAATAAAATCTGGACTGACTTCTTAGCCACTGTTAATATAAACTTGTGTATTAAACGGAAATAAATTTGTTAATTTTATTTAATTCATACCGTAATAGCGAAGAAAAAAATATCCAATTTTATCTATTCACTCACTTAAAAAACAAAAAAAAATATTATTAAAAATAAATATCATATACACATAATTCATAACATCAGTACATCACGTTCACGAAATAGATCACGTATAGAAACAGCCAAGCATTGACCTTACCCAGCTTATCACATACAAGAAGAAAAGGAAAAGAAAACCGTCGAATGTCGATATCATTATGGCACAAAACACATGATTTCAACAGTAATTAACGAATAATGAGCTTACCATTTCTTTACACGGCTTGGACATCGAACATACTAAATCGTTATCATGATAACAGCGCTATCAGTATTGATAACGATAAATCAATCAGATGGATGTTTATTAAGTTCTTGTTCTTATTGTAAAATGTGCGCAAAGTTATTATAAATTTACATTACATATCTATAAATCTTCTTCATTTGGTGTGTATTCAGATTTTTTCTATTTTCTTTCTGTTTTCCATTTGGAGCCCATTATTTTTCGGCGTAACAGCATTATCAAATAGATATGACAGTGACAACGAGTGATTGTTTCATGTACCATAATTTAGAACTTAAAAATTTACAAATGTAGCTGTAGATAAGATGATGAAACTAAGCTGCATCTTCTACTCCATGGTAAATGCAGTAGTAGATGCAGGGAGATCCCACATTTCAACGCAACACCAAGGGATCAAGCCGCTCGGAAAGTGACTGGTCGTCGACGATTCGAATCACACTTCGTTGAATACGCTCAAGCGAAAGGAGCTGGGGAGCTCCAAAGAATTACGAAAATATACCCCTTTTAAACCTACTTTAATTCTAGAAAGTGTAGTTTCTTACATTCAATAGGGTGATAGCCCTAAATAAATAATAATCTAGCTGACGAAAGTATATAGTTGCAACTTGTATGGATTCGTCGTCTGTTGTATAATACGAGTGCAACGTCCACGGAACATAACAACGTTTGAGAGCGCCGTATTTCAGTGCCTTCAAAACATTACGCCAAAATAACTGTTGGTTTATCCTGGACAACTGAATCATCGATTCATAATATTTTAAGTATGGGTCGTTTCTAGGTGTTCGATAGTACGTTAATCCTAAGTGTAGGATATAGCAAGAAGTGCGTAAACTTATGCTCCAACGCAACCACTGTGATGTATTAATGAAATTGCTCAAGCTAATAAAACGTATGATCGTCGTGTTATAAAATGGTAAATTATTTACTGATTATATCTACCACGCGCAGAATGCTTAATAAATATAAATCAAAATGATAAGTTCTTCATTCACAACTTAATAAAAAAAAACTAACATCTGAGGAAATTTGTACGTTGATGGGGTGTTAGAAATTTTATTATCCTATTCCTAAAAATCACGGACGGTAATTATTAATAAGTATATCATTTCTAATAGAGATTAATAATAATCAATTTTAATTCGGATTTCATAGATAACCGATAAACGCAAAAGAAGAGAGCAAAAAGATTTAAAAAAAAAGTTAGGTGACAAAACCCATCCAGGTCTTATACAGTGCAGTGCCAACAATCATATCATATCCTAGCCGACAGCCAGCTCCTATTAATATGCTACAACTGTCAACTCTGAACATGAATATTAGGTTGGCCTTCGTTTGTTTTCAGAGCAGTTTTGGCCTAGTGGCTTCAGCGTGCGACTCTCATCCCTGAGGTCGTAGGTTCGATCCCCGGCTGGATCCTGGACTTACTTTCTATGTGCGCTTTTAACAGTCGCTCGAACGGTGAAGGAAAACATCGTGAGGAAACCGACATGTCTTAGCCCCAAAAAGTCGACGGCGTGTGTCAGGCACTGGAGGCTGATCACCTATTTGCCTATTAGATTGAAAAATGATCATGAAACAGATTCAGAAATCAGAGGCTCAGACCTAAAGAGGTTGTAGCGCCATCGATATTTTTTTCGTTTATTTTCAGTCAAGTCAGATTCCGGTTCCGCTTTATTTTACAGTTTAAAAAATGACAAACGCAGAGCATGCGAAACCTGCTATTAGGATGCGCATAACCGCGCGTACGTAAATACGTAAGCAATATTTACGTGCAATGATATGAATACATAATTGTTGTACTTTGATCTACTTTTTCAATCAATTATAACTGTATTGTTACGGTAATTAACATTATGTGTGATTATATAATTCAGATTTCTATCGAATTATTTATAAAGTGTTGTGAAAGCTGAATCAATGTGTGCGTTTTAAACTTAGAAACTAATTTATGTGTAAGAATTAAAAATAAATAAATAGAAAATTAAAGCAAATTTTAAAAGTTTAGTTCCTCTAGCTTTTAATTCTGGCAGAATTTCCTCGCTGTTAATGCGATAGTTATTCGTTGAGCGAGGAATGCACCAGCTTTAGGGTTATTAGTACTATCTACTATGTACCACGGGCCAACCTTAATCTTTAATTAGCGCCTGTGCACTTGAACCCCACGGCCCTAGACACTCTACTATGTGGGTAAATAATATTGTAAATACTGCATATTTGTGTGTTCAAAATAAATGCTTTGACATTTCTGTGTTAAACTGTGTGGGTGGCATATAAAATACAACCAAAAAAAACTCGAGGGTTTAGGAAAGGTATGCTAACACCGGCACTAATGTTTAGTTAGTATGTTGAATTTTAGTACCGCACGATGACAAGGTGCGACATAAGCGCTACGGAAATTCAGATCCAAACCGTCGAGATTGCTATTAGTAGTTTCAGAGTACTAAGCTCTGAATGCTATAGGCAGAAAGAATCAAGAACCCACACAAATGTGTCCCAACGCACTGATTTGAGTAGGTACTACAATATCTATTGCGTATATGGCAAGTCGCAATAGAAATATGTGCAGAGTCTGAAGAACATTGTCACATACCCAAAAGTGCACTATAAGCTATCATGAATGAACCTCTGAAGGCGGTCTCGAATCTTCGGGTATTGTGTCTATGGGCGTCGGTATCCCTTTATTTGCCTTTGCTTAATAGAGAAAAACGTCAAAGGGAGCGTTCAAGTATTACGTCACGCAATTTTTGGAGATTATTGACATGTAAAGTATAAACTCAAACTCAAACTCAAAATATCTTTATTCAAGTGGGTAACCAAGTACACTTTTGAATCGTCAAGTTAAATTAATCATAAATTTACATTTATACCAGTTCGCAAGTCAAGGGCGTAGAGGCGGGTAAGAAGAACTGGCAAGAAACTTTCCACCACTCTTTTTAATCGCACTCTTTTTAATTTATAGTAAAACTTTTCGCGACCACCTAGTGACTCTTTATTCCTAAAAGTTACTATTATGTGGTGTAAAGTACTGGAAATCGAAAATAATATTAACGCGTAATTCAATCCCCGTCCCGCATCGTAACGTTTTATAAAAGCCCCCCCTCCCCCCAAATTCGTTACGTAATACTTGAACGCTCCCAAAGGGGCTATGAAAATAAGTCAAAGTACCTTGTTTAGTATAGCAGTAGCTAGAAGATCTTCGTAAGAAGACTCTGTGGGTGTTGAGGGTTCTGCTGCATATCTGGCTAGCGCTGGAAGAGCTGCAGCTTCCTCTACCACTCTCGCTACTAGGCGTTTCAGTTGCGCGTGCGCACCACTTGCACCGATCGTCCGGTTACTGTGCGCTGCCTGTGGCTTTGGTAAATCTGTGGAGAGAACAAGTCAAATAAGTTTAAATTGGCTACTACAATTAAATTAGTTGTTTTTTGTATTGTTAATTTAGGTCATTAGGAAACTCCCTCTTTTTTCGTTAAAACAAGAAATCAATGTTTATAAAGTAGTATTCATAATAATCAAAATAGCCATAATAATAGTCAAGAAGCCATGAATTTTTCTAGTTTCATGTATAATTGATAATATAAGATTGTAACAATTACAGTACATTAGCAATATCATAAACTTTCACCCAAGTGCTATTAGTGTCGCAAAACATTCCGTGAAAGCAACGTGAGTCTCAAATTAAAATAATTAATTACTACTATTGTTGTGCAAAGAAAAACAATAGCATTATAAAAATATGCATATCTCTACGAGGAATAACTTGACCAACTATTGTTGCAAGAACGACTATACAACTGAAAATTAATGCGAATTATTAAAGATATTAAATAATAGGTCTTATCAGATTAGATTTAGCGCTAAGTGTCGTTCCTGAATCTCACCCTTACCAAGGCGCGGGATTGTACGTGAACCACCAGTACTGAAAAAATTCAGCAATACTAAAATTTTTGTATGAAATTAGAATAAATTAGAAGCATTTAATATGTATTCATTTTCGACGTTCATAAGTGTACATTGTGTTACCTACATGAAAAAATGATTTTGATTTGATTTGATATAGTTCGTAACGTAACGTAAGGATCGCAAAGCTATCGATATTGGGATACATAGATAGAAGAAATATTGAAGTAATGCCGGTGCTGATTGAAAAGTTTTAAAGCACTCAGAATCACCGATCCTCCGACAGTTGAGAAAACAAAAAGCTATTTCAGGATTTAAATAATCATGATTATATTCGATTATTCCATATCAAAGTCAAAGTCCAAAATCATTTATTCGTATAGGTAGGCTATGGAAGAGCTGGGAACTTTGACACAGGTATTTTTTTCCTTAAACCAATCATATCTTACATATTTTATTGTTAAAAAAAAAAATACATCAGTGGCGCTACAACCTCTTTAGGTCTTGGCCTCAGATTTCTGAATCCGTTTCATGATCATTTTTAAATCTAATAGGCAAGTAGGTGATCAGCCTCCAGTGCCTGACATACCGTCGACTTTTTGGGTCTAAGACATGTCGGTTTCCTCACGATGTTTTCCTTCACCGTTCGAGCAAATGTTAAATGCGCACATAGAAAGAAAGTCAATTGGTGCACCCCCGGCTGTGAACCTACGACCTCAGGTATGATAGTCGCACGCTGAAGCCACTAGGCCAACACTGCTCTTTAATGCATTGTTATTAATGGTTAAACACATTTTATTTATTTTTTAATTAAATAAATAACTATCCTTAACCATTGTAAAGTAGTCACGCAGCTTATATAAGAGAAAATAATTGAGACTTATATTCCTATAAAAAGTATTTCTTAAGAATAAATAGCTTTTCTATATACTTATTATATATATGAAAACCCATTACGTATATAATTGAAGCCATGACATAATTACCAATAGTTTGTTTCTTCAAAGTTATTATGTGTAATGAAGGCAACTTTGACCCCAATTGTATGAATTCGCTAAAAATGTAAATTGTCATAAAAATAATATTAATGAGAGTTAAGATCGGTGTGTGTGTATGTTCAAATATATGTTAAATGAAACTCTTTGTTTGAAGCTGGGTGTTAACTGGCTTTAATCGTTTAAAATATGCGGTGGGGATGCGATGCTAACAAAAAACTAACTTAAGGGTTCTTAAATCTAAATAACATTTTAATATAAGTGTAGTCAACGTATTGGACATTATCGGAAACGAGAATGTTATAGTACAATTCATGAGCGTGGGAAAACCTAAAGGTCTCATTTTGGCTCCAAGTGTGCGATAATTGCTAATATTTGGTTTGCGCTTCTAATTATTAACTAAAATATATATAAATATATGGAAGATGGACTGGGTGCTGGTGTGGGATTCAACCTGTTCAGACACACTGGCCCCTTCCCATCTACATGGAACCAATAACAGAGCTGGTACGGCTTGTGACGCGGCTCACAGGAGACCGAAGAGCTGGCAGCTACCTCGGACAAAGAATTAGTCTAGCTATTCAAAGGGGGAACGCTGCTAGTATCTTCGGAACCTTGCCTAAAGGGCTTCCTTTTAATAATATATTTTAGTTATAATATTTTAAGGCTAGTTAGTGTCCTTTTAAATATATATATGTAACTTAACTAATGTTATACATAACTCGAGGTATAGCTTTTTAAATCTAGTGTTCCAGGCTTACGAAGATAAAACCTTAGATGTAACTTCTTTAATTAATATATTTATATTATGCTAAACTTATTCTCACAATAGCACAGTGCATTACATCATTTCTTAAAAGAAATAATGGCCTGGAATTATTTTTTCAATGCAAAAGTACGTTTGGGACCTACACACAAGCGTGGGAGTTGTAAAAACTAAGCAGAAAACACGATAGCAGTCTAGTCGTAGAAATCTGTTATTAGAAAATCTCACAATATTAATTATCTTGAGTGAATTGAACGACTATTTAATGACTCTATGGCCTTTGCCTTTGACTAAGATCGCTATAAAAAACAACATTACTTGTGTATTTATTTTGTAATAACACTTGAATATACATTTAGTTTTAATGGTTTTAATTATTATTGCAATTGTTGAATGGAAGATAAACATTTTTATTATACGTTAAAGAATAATTTATGTGATATATTAATTTATTGCCGTGTTTCTAGTGAGGGATAGCTTTTCAAGGAAATTTTTTCAATAATGTACAGTGTAGCTAAATATTACTAGCATTGTTTGTTATCAATCAAGTACGAACGGATGTACTTAACTTAGATGTATCATTCAAACATAGATTCAGACTAATATTTTCCTCGTAAGAAAACCCGTACAATAGACATAAAGTATGGTTATTTCTAGAAATGAGAAAAACATAGAGAAGTCAATCCAAATTATCATGACCGTAGAAGCAAATCTAGTTATTAAAGAACCAAAAATTTGAAACCTCTACCATTAGCTTATTCAAAGTAACTATTGGTGCTACAATCCCCGCCTCAGATTGGCATTGGGCACCTTATAACTGACAGAATAATGCATTGGTATGGAACCGGGGTTGGATCGTTGGACCTCATGTTTTATAATACGATTATAAAATTTGAAAGCAAATTGAAATTGGAAAGCAAGAGGAAACCCACGAGATTATGATGAATTTTCTTTACTTCGTGCTAGACAGAAGGCAATCCAAAAAAAATGTTTTAATTTACATATGCAAAAAATACAAACGTCGTTAAGGAAAGATCCAAAGAAAATCTGGTCATATTTAAAATCCTTACGAATTAATAACGCTGGCTATCCAAATAGATTACAATTAGGAAGCAATATATATAATAACGAATCGGAAGCATGCACGGGATTCAGTACTTTCTTTGAGAGCGTATTTCAACAAGCAGCGCCTTCATACCATGAAATTCTGCAGACTAATACGGAAGTAACCGACAATATTATATGTAATCTAAATATTACCAAATTTGATATATTGAAGATACTAAATTCATTAAATGCAGAAAAAGGAGCTGGGTATGACGGTATACCACCTATTTTTATCAAAAAATGTGCTCAAACTATCACAGAACCACTGTACATAATACTGAACTTATCAGTGAACACATTTGGCATTTATCCTGATGTATGGAAGATAGCTAAAATAATACCGATTCATAAGAGTGGCTCGCGGTTGAGTATTGAAAATTACCGCCCAATATCGATACTTAATACTTTCAGTAAAGTCTTTGAAAAGATAATTTATAAAGCCATCCACAATATAATAAGTAATTCACTTCCCGATGAACAGCATGGTTTTATCAATAAATTTTCTACGATAACCAACTTAACCGTGTTTACGAACTATGTACTGCAAAGTATGGATGGTGGTGCACAGGTTGATGTAATTTACACAGACTTTGAGAAGGCTTTCGACAGAGTGGATCACACCATCCTATTGCATAAGCTCCAACTTCTAGGGATACGTGGTGACCTTCATCGCTGGTTTTGTTCATATATAACAAATCGTAGACAGGCGGTTGCGGTTGGCAGTGCTAGAAGTGACTTTGTTCATATAAGTTCTGGAGTTCCTCAAGGATCTATATTGGGTCCCCTGTTATACAATGCATATCTTTATGACATAAATAGTAGCATTAAAGATTCAAATCACCTTATGTTCGCTGATGATAAAAAGATATACTTAAAAATAAACAAAGAAGGAGACTGTCAAAAAATTCAGGCTGACTTAAATAACCTTTCCAATTATTATAGACAAAATTGAATATCGGTTAATACTTCTAAATGTGTCAAAATAACATTCACCAGAAAAAGAAACAAAATTGACTTTAGCTATCATATTAATAACAAATCCGTAAAAGAAGTAGATTGTGTTCGTGACTTAGGTATATGGTTAGACTATAAAATGACGTATAATAACCATATTGACACAATAGTTGACAAGGCCTAGAAGCAGCTTGGTTTTGTAAGACGTGTTAGTGAACATTTTCATGATGTCGACTGTATGAAAGTGCTATACTATACATATGTAAGAAGTATTCTCGAATATGGTTGCTCGGTTTGGTCACCTAGTTACACTGTACACAAAGAAAAAATTGAAAAGATCCAAAAAGACTTCATAAAATTAATCTCCTATAAGACCTACAATAAGTTTAATACATATAAAGACGCGTGTGAACATTTTAAAATTAATACTTTAGACTCTCGACGAAAACAATATGATTTATTGCTACTACATGACATTATCTCAAATAAAATTAATTGCAGCTCCCTTCTAGAAAAATTGCCCTTCCTTGTTCCTGCCTACCAGACTCGTAATCGTGCTTTGTTTCAGGTTCCTCACACTAACTATGCAAAAAACTCAGTTTTATATCGCGCAGCCCGGACATACAACGACCAATATTTAAGCCTTGACCTGTTTAAGCTGTCGCGGAATATGATTAAAAGGAGTATTAAGAATATCCATAAAATCACCTGCATCATAAGCATACCCCACATACACACCTTCACGTACTTACACTCACTCTTACACCATCACACAACACAGCCAAATTAGGTATTATTTAGTTGAATGTATTTTTTTTTTGTTTGTTGTTTGTTTGATTCTGTAAATTTTTTAACCTTTTTGTAGTAAAATGTATTATGTATTCCATCTCTGGCTATATTTTCAGTGTATCTGTTTGTTATTATATATAATTTATGTTAGCTGTAGGATTACGAAATAAATAAATAAATAAATATACCTTAATCACATGGACAACAGTCGTTTTAATGTGAAACACGTCTAGTTAAATATTTGTATTCATTTTACGATGTATTTTACAAGGGTTTTGCCAGACTCATGCTTAAAGAATAGTTATCTCAAATCATACGAATATGGCAATGCATTAAGGTGGGAACTGACCAACGTTACGAGGTGTAATGTAACACGTTACACAGCGAGCATTCGTGCAGTCAGTACGTCGTGTTACGGGGAAACCAGCGAGCAACGAGCCGCTCGTTGCTCGCTTTGAGTGCTCCACCCGGCTGTCGGTTTTTTGGCGAATCCTTTGACTGTTACGCGGTTCAGTCAGGACGCGTCGCACGTCGCGAGTGATCATGATTATGATTTTCTATAAATTGTGTCTTTTTTAAGTACTTTTGGTCCAATTAAATTCAACAGTTCTTCAAAATCGAAACATGCGTAAAAAGTTTTTATACTGTCCAGTAATCGTTTGGTTTTTCAAAATTGCAATCAATAACAAACCACCTCATACGCCTGTGTTTTTAAATAAGTTTGATGTCCAGTAAATTTTTTTCTTCTTCTTAATTTGGATGAAACAATAATTAAATAGAATGAAAGATATCAACACGTCCTCGCTGTCGGCCATCTCCTGAACACTGGCGGCGAAAGCGGAGCACAGAGTTTTGACGAGCATGTTACGCCGATTTTAAAACACAGCGTAACACGCTCAAAGCGAATGCTACATTACACCTCGTAACTTTATAATAACTTTAAGATTATTTCCTTTAAAGGTTCGAACTTCTACAAAGTAATTAAAATCATATATACACTCGTTGAAAGAAAAAGGAAATTATCCGACGACCTTTCTCTGTGGAAACGATATTATGCAACTGGTTTACCTTCCTTACGAAAAGTATTGATTCAGAACTAACGTCTAGATATAGTATAGTATTATTTCTATTATAACACATTTCATATAATGAGCGTTGAGATCATTTTAACACGCCCTCAGTAGCTTCAAAACGCTGGTTGACAAATTTTAAAGCGAGAAGCTAGTTTGGGTATATAAGCTTCATAAAATACTTTTTATATATTTACACTGGCACACCCGGCCACGCGTTGCCGTGGCTAAGGATTTTGTTATATTACATAGTAGTAAACTATTAAAGGGAAACTGTAGGAGAACACCAGTCATGGGGACCACCATGCTTTGGTGGTTATGCCATTAAATTGTAGCTTAGGTAGGTAAAACGTTGGTACTTTCAACACAGCGCCATCTGTTAGAATTGTGATTGTCAAATAATAAACAAATATTTTGCAATAAAATAATATTGCGGGTATAACTTCAGATGTAAGCTATCCTATATTTTAAGTTAGATCAAACTACACACGGTGTGCATATTGAAATTGGTTAAGTAGTTTAGGAGTCCATAGCGGACAAACAACGTGACGCGTAGTTTATATATATTAAGATGACGAAGTTGTCCTGCTACTTTTGCAAGCGTCGTAGTAGTTTATTTTCTTTAAAATGTCGGTCACTGAATTTCTGTTTTATATCTTTAATAAATTTTAGTTTACTTTTTGCAAAACACAAACATAATTTTTATAAGATTTTCTCGAATATATAGCTTTATAGCGCCTTAGTATTTTTTTTGCCAAAAGATAAAAAAAACTATTGTTTTAGTGTGTCCGCATTCAAAACATTCTAAGTTTAATTTCAACTAAAACTTAGCAAAAGCATAAAGACTTACCCAGTATCTCCTCAAGCCAATAACATGACACGTACAGAAAGATGGCGACACCAAGCCAGAAGCCGATCAGAAGCACAACCAGATATTCCAACATTTTGTTAACACTTAAGTCATTACTGAGTTTACATTATATTTCAATCTATTTATAGTCACTAGTTATAATGAGCATTTCTGGTCCAAATTCCAGACTTGCCATATATCAAATAAATCTATATTAAAAATGTAGCAGACATTATATATTACCGAAGCGAATGCAAGCTATATAAAATGCACCGATGTACGCAGTACGACATACAAAACGGATTAGTCTTATCGCGCCGTTTTAACTAAAGTTAAAAAGTTTAAAGCTGTCTCTTTTCATCAAAGTGTAAATAAAATTTGACAGAAAGAGGCAAAAGAGTATATTAGTTTGTTTTGTCTCTCCTGTGTCGTCGATAAAACGCCTAGTCATAGCCCTAACAATCACAAAAACTTAAGGTGCGTTCTAGTTAATAATAGCTTTTGAAAGATGTAAGAGCTGGTTGAGACTCATTCCAGGTAATCTCTAGTATTCAAATTTATCTATAAATCTACGCCCTGTACTGCTAAGGGTTAACTAAAGGGTCACCCCGATGATGTGGTATTATGAATAAAACAATGTGAAGTTTTAGCCGTTTTCAAAAAAGGCACGCGCAGATCACGTGGCCAGAGACATTAATTTTACACGTTATCACTTGTCTGTTAATAACTTATTCTGAATAACCAAACAGTGATAAAATATTTTAATACATACTAAACTTATTGTATTAATTTTTTTAGCATATGCGAGCTAATTAATGTATGATATGTATTTTGTACATAGTCAAAATGTTTTGGTCTACCTATATCACAGCGTGAAACATATAGTTTATTTTGTAATTTTTAATTCATATTAAATCACTTGTATTTGTATTCCTAATTTTGTATTAATCTTATGTTTTTCTAGTGGTAGTTTTGATCGTTTCATCAATAAAAAATATTAGTGAAATTGCTTAGTACATAGAGAAAGTATAGGGTCAAGATTATCTTTGACACCATCTCTCCGAGTTTTGCTTTGTCATAATCTGTAATATTCGATTGCTATTGTCGATACTATGACATTCAATCATAATAATAATATACATTAAACCTCATTAAAGCGAAATCTTTCACGTAACATTAAAATCTGTATTTTAAAGATATGTTTTGTAACACATCTATTGTATTACACATTAAAAGCAAAGCGGATATTTTTAAGGTATTTTAAAGGTTTAGAGTTGGATTCTCTTATGTCAAAAACTGATTTCGTATTGGGGTAAGTATGGCTTAAGTAAAAGATAAGTAAATTAGAAGAACTGACTACTAATATTCTGATAAATCAGCTGCGAGGTATCTCAACTGAGACTGGCGTTAAGAAATATTTTAATTCACAAGCATAAGCGCTCACTATATTTTATAACTAAAACGATTATAAAAATGTCCAACAACACTGAAGTTACTTGATAGGCGTTGCAGCACCAAACTTTTGTAAAGCTCTATAGCGATGAGAGATAATCCGCGACACATGGGTGTTCAAACTACCAGCCAACGTCTACCTTAGTACCATTAAATTTTTCAATAATCACATATTTTCCGACGTGAACCCGAGACCTCAAAATATGCAGTCGAACGCGCTAACTACTAGTCCAATGCGACAATTTAACACGAACGTTAAATAACTATTGTATCACAGAATCATTTGCAACCTAAAACGATTATGCGTACATTGTTTGGTTCTAAGAATTACAAACACCGGACGAAGCCAATACATAGAAAGGAAACGCATTAGAAAACCTAGTTTTTCGTTCAACTTGCGTTTTCTATGTATTTCCAAACAGAGTGCAGTTTCCTGCACTGCCCATATGGTCACGTAGGGCTACAGCTTCACTTTCGCTTTGCAGTTCAATGGCATTCGTGTACTTGTTCGTCATGTGATGTACTTGGTTATGGTTAAGCTTTGGTGTTGAAGAAAGTTTCGTATTATCAATTGATTTATAATATTTTTACTAAAACTAGATAGAAATTTGGACAGCAAATTTCCTTAATGTTGACGGCAACAGTTTCTTATGTAATACTTTTATAATTAACCCTAAAACTAGATAAGACTCAAAAAATCCCCAATCCAAAATCTTTGATTGGACCACAGATCACCGAATTCTATGATTTTAAATAATTTCTGTGGAAGCACATACATTTCATACACAAGTTGAAATATTTGAATATCGAACAAATCTCGACAAATGTTATTATTACGTCGAAGGCCAACATTGCAAGTTTTCACTTGTCTAAAGGGCAAACCTGTTCATCACCCAACTGACAAGTGGCGACTGCGCATATATTGAGTAATGCTCACACATTCTGTGCAACAGGCCTACTTATCGTAATTAGATAAAGATGGTTGAAATCTAGGTGACAATATCCGAAGTACCAATGTATTTGTGTCTTATGCATTCGTTTATTTTATACTAATATTAAAGTTGCTTCGTGCAACGTAAAGTATCTTTTAAATCGAATTTAAAAGGGGGCTATTGGAATTTCTTATAACTATCTTAATACTTCTTTCAATATCTAATAGGGCAATAATTTAATTGGCCAAACGCACATATACATATACAGTGATTAATGTTGATAGCGGACACATCATAATAAGTTTGTTTTATAGCGAGAAATTGTTAAGAAATTAATTTAAATATAAATTTGTAAACCTTCTCATTTTATTTAACTTGCTCGTCGGTTTGTTTATGCAAATTTTGAGAAAAAAGTAAGTAATTCTCGCTGACCACTCACGCGCAGTAGTTATTACATTAGAATGTAGGTTTATAGATGTAAAAGTAATTCAATATTCGTACTTATCACCGTTTGAGGTGCCGTTACTGGGTCACATACATTTATTTTTTGGTCTTAGAACGAGTTTTAATTACTTAATACAAGTTTAAGCAGTCGTTTGGTAAATCGCTTAGTACCACATTTTTGTTATGTATTGGTCAATTTGTACATATGTGTCATGGACAATGTAATCTGTCGAGTTCAGAATAGGTTATGATAAATTTCTTCTATTCCAATTGGAACCTATCTATTGAATTGTTTTCTACTAATCTTTATTCTTTCCTGCCGTGCGATTCTGTCAATCCGTGAGTTCACCTCGCACTAACAACGCTTTTTTCGTCACTCACTTAATTTTACGAATCTCATAGTATTCTGTTAGGCAATTTCACATTACGTCTTGAAAAGCGGAGGGAGCTTGTTGTTTATTGTTTATCAGAATGCCAAATCGTAAAATGACTGCTTCACGACTGATTTGAGTGCGAAAACCGCTGTGAGAGTTCGAAAAGTGAGTTACAGAATCGCAAGGCTGCTAAGGGTAGATTTTGCGTCACATTTTACGTTTGAAGGAGAATTGTAACGCCGATTCTCCAATAGATACATTGGCTGACTTAAAAAAAGCACTTGGCCATTTTCTTTAAAACCCGATAATAAAGACCGTGCGGTATAAGGACCGTCGAGATTTGGCGGCAGTGCTACATAACCTTTTTGTTATGTTGACAACATTATTACGTCGTTATAGTTTGACAGTTACCATCTTGATATGAAAAAAATAATAGTACGTATTTACGTGTAGCGTAATTAAACTCGTATCTTTTCGCCAAGAAACGCAGCGAACAAACGTTCGACCATTAATATCCTGTAAAGCTTCACTATATTTAAGTTATATTTTATACTACGATTCGTATGTAAGATCTCTTTTCGTGCGTAAACTTATATATTTATTATCATAAAGGTAGTAAATATGATTTTTTATATGGTTAAAACTACCAAAACAAAATACGTATGCTGTTTACATTTAGTAACATCGAGTATGTTTCTGGTTTAACTGATGATCTCATACAAAGTTTTTACGTTACTTGATGTGCGTTGTTATTTTGTTCTTGTAGTATGTATTTTTTGAATTTAACAGATCTTAATCATTTGCAAGTATGTAGTATGTATATTAAAACACTAATTGCTGGACTGAAAATTATAGCTAAGATCATATAGTTGGCGTGTCTTCAAAAATAATACATTTAAAAATATAATAATTATTTTAGCACTTGGACCAACAGGCCCCAATGGCATCGCTCTATACTACTGTACTCTCTCTGTCTCTTTAATCGGCAGCTGATATCTGAGCGTCATGGTCAGCAAGAAAGCGTCTGGAGCGGACTATCTGTTTCCACCGGTGTCTTATGCGCGAATCTTATGACTGTACAGTTTTGAGGACCATGAGTCTTTCTTGAGGTTGGTGAACGACCACGTGATCTTTTGCTTTCTGTCTTACCAACCACGATCAGTTTCTCCAAGTTCTCATCGCCTCTGCGCAATGTATGGCGGAAATAAGATACAATTCGCTGTTGGCATATGGTAGACAGGCGAGTCCGTATGCGGAGTTGGGTCAGGATCGATGTATTGGTGCGCTTCGCAGTCCACGAAATTCTGAGCTTTCGCCGCCAGCACCACATCTCAAAGGCATCGTTCCTTTGCCTTTCTCGAGCCAAGATAGTCCACGTTTCTACTCCATACAGAAAGATAGAGATACAAGAGCCCGTATCAGTCTTGTTTTTGGTTTTAATACCAATTCCTCTTCTCTTCCTCTTGTCTAAACGTGTCATTGCATCTTTGATCGAGTCGCCTTTTTATACTACTGTACATTGTTTGTATAAAAAATAAAATTTCTCATACAATTTCACGCAAATAGTCTTTGTTATTTCTGATTCTTCATTTTTTTAATTTACTTCCTATATTTTCAATTCAATGTTAATCAGTGTTCTTTTTTCAAAAGAATTCTCTTTTGACGTCAACTAATTTTTTTCTAATAAATAGGCAAATGAAATTCACAATATAACTTTGCGTTTGATATAATTGTAAAACAGTAATTGAAATACACAAACCTTAACGCGTAATACTATGGAAGGAATTTGCATTAAAATTCTTTGGTTAATTTTCACTATTACACTACTTTTGCATGGTTGAAGCAGTCAGAACAATCAGTTTTATGAATGATTAAGAAATTCGGTTACGTCT